ATATTCAAACCCTGCGGCCCATAAAGCAATGCAGACAATGTAAATGGATTTTGTTTGAGTCGTGTCAAAAATCCTTCCTCTATCAGCTGTTGATCTCCAGAGCTGATGACGTTTCACACATTCCTGCTTCCTGGTTTGGGTTAGGGTTCGAGACACAACAATGGGACTGAATGTAGTGTAATGTAGTTTGACAATGGATAAAAATATATTCATGGTGGTGCAGTGGCTAGAGAATTATTTTATTGCAATGTGAACAAGAAGTCAGAGAATTATTTTATTGCAATGTGAACAAGAAGTCACAGACTAGGACATTGCTTTGGCTCTGGGTGCAAAAAAGTTGAAAATTAGAGAATAGAAAAAGGCATGCAATAAAAATCTATATAAAATGTCTTTAAAATGACTACTATATACAAGTGCACTAGGTAGGTGCAGTAAAGTGACCGCAGCATAAAGAGACGGTCATAAGGGCAGGGAACAGTGAGTTATGAAAGTGTTCATAAGTGAAGTGGGGAAGAAACTGTTCTTAAGGCGGGAAGTTCTGGTACAGATGGATCGTAGCCTTCTACCTGAGATCAGTGGTTGGAATAGTTATACAGGGTGAGAGGGGTCAGCAGTGATACGAAAACAAAACGGTCTCCCACTTCCCACAGGGAGCTGGGAATGGGAGATAAATCTTCAGATGGCACCTTTCTGTGTGGAGTTTGCATGTTCTTCCTGTGTCTGCGTAGGTTTCCCCTAACATTTAAACATACAGTAGTTCGGCGAATGAGTGTGGGTGTTTATGAGTGTAACTGCAGGACAAAATATGTAAATTAGCAATTACAATCCAGATAGGTCTTCACTGTCCCAACCACATAAACAATAAATAAAACACAATGACTTATGACTTAATTGTGTAAATTATGCCCAATATAGGGTTGTCAAATACTAAAACTAGAGTCAAAATTATAAATAGTATTTTGAAAAAGTACTGAAAATGTGAGTTTCTCTGTGCGGTTCAAAATCAGAAATATTCAGAATTAGAATCATGTTTTTTGCCATGTAAGTAACAGCCAGTCACAGACTAGGAACTTGCTCTGGCTCTCGGTGCAACAGTCAAAGAAGAGAGGTAGAGAAAAGAGTAAGGCATTGTAGAAATCAGCATACTTCTAAGATATACAAATTAAAAATGGTTACAATTTACTATACACAATATACAAGTGCACTTGGTGCACACAATAAGCAGTGCAGTAAGGTCACATTGTGGTATCATCATAAAGTACTATGATGTTGTGACGTTATTGTCAAAAAAAATTACCCTTTAGAATATCACTTGATATTGAAAATCAAATCTATTTCTTAGTAGCAGGATCAAGGCCGTCACTTTAGTTTTGTGACGACAAAACCCAGGAGCATATGCCAATCATGATGCTTCTAACAATGCAAAGCGCCTCGCTGCTTAAGCTAGAGCAGCTCTCATTCATTTCTCTTTATTAACAAATGTTTGTCCTTGTGTGTTTATTGTGGTCCAGATCTCCTCTGTAAACAGAAGAGACAAACAGGGCAGCACATCTCGTCCTTCATTTTATTTCTCCATCTGCTGTTTCCGTCATACCACATTAGCGACACTTCCATGGGCCATTGTTCTGCCTGTTGTGTGTGCGGACCCCCTCCCCACAAACACACACTTCATCCTAAAGCATTACTTACACTCACCAACATTAGCCACTCACTCCTTAGGAAACTCACCAGGTCTTGTGTGGCCATGAGAAAGAGGGAAATGTCTTAGATTATTCAGCTTCAAATCTACTTTTAAACCATTTAACCCACACCAATAAACTAATGAAAACATGTAACTATGTAGTTCCTAGCTGTCCAAACAGTTTGATGTTCGTCAATAACTTTCACTTTGGTTGAAACTTTAAACAAATACAAACTGTTTCTATTGTGATTATTGTCATATATGATACTATTTATTACTGGTCATTAATGGTAAAACATCTTATTTAATGACACTCTTCTTTCATCATGTGGTGCAACCAGAAGCTACAGTTCATTATGACCCAAATGAGTAAGAGAATACAAAACAAAAGAACAGTTTGGCTACACCTGCGTTGCTTCGATATGTAGTTTGTCAGACACAAACCCTGTGTGTGTCTGTGTGAGATGATAATTTTTGGTCTGGGGATTGGTGTGTGACTGTGAGCGTTAGTCAATTGCCAAAATCACCACCAATTAAAGCGGGACTAGAACAAAAGGGTTTGTTTTTAAAAAAGGTTCCCAGAGACCTTTGTGAAATTTGTTGGTTCCTGAGGACGAGCAGTTATTCTGGTCTGTGGGAAAATCTCTTGTTCGGGTGACCTTCACACACGCACACGCAAGAGGGGCTTAAGCTAGCAAGACTTTATCCAGGTATTATAATAGATCCATAGTTTTGGTTGAGTGTGTAAACAAAACATTCATCCTTATTTAGGACTAAACTTAGAAAATATTTTTAGAGGCTGATGGAGAAGTTATTCATTGAATTAGAATTATCTTGTAGAGTTTATCCAACTATTTTTATTTTCTAACACCAACATTTTATTGTTTGAAAAAAATTTTTTTAAAGGGACGGTGCACAGTAACAAGCTCAAAGACTGATATGTTCTGCAAAACTGCTCGTTCATATTCAATTACAACCCAAAAATATATTTTCTAACACTAACCATTGAATCAATGCATACATTTCATACTGTAGACCACTATACACTATTTAAATGTATATTATTGCTACATGTTTTTTTATTCAACTCTTTAAGAGATGAGAACTAGTCAAACCCCTATAGTTTGAGGACTTTTTCATTTTGCATTTTCCATTACCTCGCTACAGGGCAGATAATGCATTGTAACAGCTTCATCTCGTATCTCTTCTCTCGCCTCCATAATGTGCATACTTAAGCTCATTCTAATGGTAAAGCCGAGTAATGCCTTGGGCAACGTGCTGGATGTGCGAATCATCAAAAGCACTGACCAAAGAGATGCAGTGTTGAGTTTAGCTCAAAATCACATGCTCTAGAACTATAACAAGAAATATAAGAAAATAGAAACGTCTGTAGCACATTCTTTAGTGTGCATTTCTTCTTCAAAACCATATATTTTTCTGCTTCTGACAAAAGTCAATTTTCAATTATTTTCACTTCTGTCTTAGAGCAATCAAAGACCTGCACCTGCTCATAAAAACATACTTTCTAATCCACCCACAAATATATTTATATGTATTGTACATTCCTTTAAGTGATTTGTTGTAGTCCTGTTTGTAGGGCTCTCTGTAACAACAACTCTGGCTCCCTTCAAACCCAATAAGTGTCGCTTTGCATCTCGGTGAAAAGTCTTACTTATAGGAGTTATTTTTGCGACACAAGCACCATTGTTTTTTCCTCTGTCATAACTATGTGGCTCTCTACAACAAGCCCAGTGTTTGGCAGATATTAGCATGCACGTTCTCTGGTGTAGCACAACGCCATTTCTGCTCGCACACTGAGGAGATTGTGTGAGGGCAGGAATGCACTGGATGCTCTCGTCGGCGGTGGGAGCCTAATGGCTCGCTGTCACTGCGAACGTTTGAGGAATAGCTCTGCTCCGAAATGAATGGGTGCAATATGCCACTGATGGCTGAGATGATTGGCCAGATAGAAGGAAAGACAAGTGAAAGTCATAACCCAAACTGCCCTGTGCCATCGGGCATGGCCTGGGCACACATGCTGGGAGCTAATGGTATACTATCACTAACCTTTACATTTTTCTCTGTGAAATGGAGTAGTATCTGTCTCTTGGGGGCGCTCGGGGCAGGAGTTCTGTAGCCTCTCGGCAAAAAAAGTGTGGTTTTGTATTGTCAGTTTTCTATCCAACATACTTTGTTTGAACTCTCTTGAGTAAGGGGTGAAGGCCAGAGAAATATCTCTCTGTATCTCTCCCCTCTGGTAGTAATTAGTGTCAGCGTCTCAAGTTAGTGATGGGAAATCAATAGAAGAATACATAGTTTTATTTCCAATGTCTCAACTTTAAATACATCAATTATAATAAATTATAGATACATAAATGATTAATACATTGTGTTTTGCATATGAATCTGCAACAGCGTGTTTATTCTCAGAGAAGATAAGCCTTCTGCTTGTGTGATTGATTTTCTGCGCTCTGAAAGTTATAAAAGTGCTTATGCACTCGGGATGCCTGAGATCCCTGAGAAGTGAGGACTGTTAAAAATGAACAGCTTCTGTTTTCACCAATTTACTACATAAAAAGCAGGTACAGATCCTTTTAACTCCTTTCCTGTAAAATATCTAACTGAGAACAGACACAAACAAACGGCTGAACTCTTTGAGAAGCTAAGGCCCTGTAGTTTTGCTCTGATGACTCATTGATTACAAGTGGCAGCAATCTGCACAGAGAAAGCTCAAACTCCAAAGTCTGATTGGTTTTAGTTTAGTTTATTTCAAGCACAAAATGAACAGTGGCCGTACGATCATAAATAGTAAAACAACTCTAGTTGAAAAGGAGTGGGATGATATAAATGACTTAAATTGACCATGATGAAAATAAAGAAGTGTCTGGAGATTGGATCTATTTTGCTGTAGAATTGTGTTTTAACAATTCCCCCTTTCATAGCAGAGGCCAATGTTAATGGAGATGAGATATAAATCCATAATAAAGAAAAAGCTCCAGGTGGAACCCAAGCAATTTTTTGCACTATGTTTTATTTGTGAGTTGAGAGTCCATTGAAGCTGATCCAGGTTCAACCCAGAATGTTTTTATTTTACTGTAAATAAGTTATTTCATCGTTGGGCTGACAAATAAGGTAAAATTCAGTTGAACCTGTACAGGCACATCCGCGTGTGGTCGAGCTTGTGCATCTCCGTATGTTTAGTGAGGTTGAAATGTGAGAAATGCTGCTGTTCTGAGCTGCAGACAGGAGCACACAGAGGCCCTTGTGCTGCGTACAGTGTGCTGTGTGCCATTGATGACCCTTTTTGTCTCTCGCCTAGGCCTGTGCGAGGCAGATGCCAACCAGAACAATGGCTGCATCTCCAAGACGCCGGCGGTGACTGACTCCACGGGCACTGAGGGCCCCCATCCGCCCGGGACCTCCCCCACTACAGCTGACCCTGACGAAGCCACGCCACGCCCCCACCTGGTCCGCCTCTTTTCCCGAGATGCCCCGGGAAGGGAGGACAACACCTTCAAAGAGCGACCGTCTGAATCGGACGAGCTGCAGACCATCCAAGAGCAGAGCGGAGCTTCAGAGTGCGGGTCGGAGAGTCCAGAACAGGACTTAGATTAGGCTTAGCTTCACCCTCCCTCCGCTCGCTTCTCTCTTCTCCTTCTTCCGCTAAACGTCTCTTTAACTCGGAGACGAAAAACGAGCCACTTTCGACCAGTACAAGCGCCCCATAGACTACTACTATAGCGCCATGGCTTCCGCAAGCAGCAAGAAAGCAGCCAGCCCCGGAGTCCTGGACCAGATTGGAAAGATTTTTGGAGGGGACAAAAAGAAGAAGAGCAAGGTGAGGTCGCGGGACACCACCTGCCGATCCCTCCCAGAACCACTAAAACCTTTCTTTTATTAAACAAACCGTTCTGTTAAGTTGTATTGTATATTTTAAGTTTTGTCTGTATTTTATGGTAAACCCAAGTTGCCAAGACATTGTCACAACTGGACTTTGAACGACTTGGGGTGGGGTCGCATTTACAGTTTATCCATTTTTTTTTTTTTTTTATGTATGCAGGCTGTGATTAATACAAATTTTCTTAATAATTCATATTTGTATAATTTTTAATGGTACTGATATAATATTGTTTTTGCTTGTTTGTCGAGTTAATGGTGGCTTTGTTTTGCGTGTAAACAGTTTGGCTCGTCACATTCTTCCTAATGATATTGAAAGTTTCCCTGTGCACGCCATTACGAGGCTGGGGAAACCGCTCACAGATACATCTTTAGAATGGAATGATTTTGTCTCCTGTGGAAAGAGACAAGATGACATTATAACGACAAAACAATCAATGGTTTTCAGCTAGTAACAGCTATAAACGCAATGGAGCCACTGGGAGTAAACTAGAAGATGTAAGACGCCAAGCTACTGTTCTTCTTCAGTTTGCCTTTATTGTGTTTTGAAAGATTCGAGAGAGATGCTTGGGCTAGTTTTAGCAAAAGACGAAACAAAATCAAAATGGCTAATTGCTCTCAACATATGCTGGGCTGCCAATGTACCTCTTTTTACTCGCACATAGCTATTCTAAAAATATGTTGTGAATCCCTCAAGTCTATCACTGGAAACACCTGTCTGCAGCAGTGATGCGTGAAACTATATTATAGAAGTTTTATATTTTTGTTATCCATAGAGAGTTCCGGGAAGGTAAAATCTATCAAACAAAATATGCATTCTACTATGCCTTACAGTCTACTTCAACCAAGAAACCGTTGAGAATTCAGGAATTTTTAAAAAGGAAACATATTTTGCCAATTATTTTACCAGAGTCACTTAAGAAATGTTGCATTCTTCAGGGAAATGTCAGAACAACTTGTGATTTTTATTTGACGTGGTGAGGCTATGACTAACTCTTACTGCAGTATTTTTGAAGCGAATCCTCTTCATGTAACTACTGTTTTTAACTTAAGCCCTGTTTAAGTTACCCCACCCCAACTTGGCCTTACTCTACTCTACTCAGCTCTATTCTTACTTGTGTTTCCATTACGCTTCAGTTTCTGGTATTAGATCTTCTACCTAAGAATCTTGGGAAATTCCTTGGTATTTCTTCCAGCAGCAATCTGTAAGTTAGCAGCTACTAAATGTAACTAAAAAAGTATCTGGTACTGGATAAACAGGGCCAGTAGATCCCAATCGGGGTAGAGTAGAGCCGAGTTGGGGATGGTGGAAACAGGGCTCAGTAAAAGACAAAAGCTGTTTAATCGAAGTGTGTATTCACCGTTGATTTGCCTTCTTAATAATGGCGGTTGGCAGACTCGCCCCATCACATCTGCTTCTCTAACTCGTTTTTAGCTTCTAGACTTGGAGTTGGCTGTGATTTAGCCTCATTTTGAAGCTGACCTGTGCGCCTGTCTCTGTGCCAATCACACATTCACATAGGATTTTAATTGTTCTTTTTTTTTTTTAACTTTCAACACTGCAGTATTATTTAAAAAAATTAATCAAAAAAATATCTGATGTTATATTTTGTTGTACATGTGCAAATAGTGGCACTGACCCGTCTCACTGGTGGAAAATGAATTTTGAAATGGCTGTTGTAAAATATGGTCATGTAAAATATCAACAAAAACTTTCACTATTTTTTTTATTTTGTAAAGAATTTGACTGAATTGGGCCATTTTGATACGCACAGGGTTTAGAGAGTAATGTGTAATTCTGCATCAAAGAACACATTATTCTTTTATGAGCTTATATATTCCAGGTTGTGACTCGCAGATGCCACTATCTGCTTTTGTGCGTTTTCATTGTGTGATACCTTTTATTCTTGGTGTTAAAAAAATGCATGCCTCCTATTTTTATTTGGCAATTTTGTCTTTTTTTTTTTTGCAATGTTAAAATACTTGCCTGCGCCTTTTCATGTTTGCTTGTTGTAACTAACATCATTTGCAAATCCAGGTTAAAAAAAAAGCAAATTAAAAATGAACAGCTGCTCTTTAGACAAAGTGAAATTAAGGCAAAAAACATGAAAGTGAAGTATCTCAGGATGTCAACAACAAAGAGTGTGTTAATTTGCATCTCCGAGCTAAGACAGATTGGATGATTTGTAATTACAGGCTTCATTTACTAGTTATAAAGAGGAAAAGAGCTTTGAATAAGAATTACCCTTTTTAAGAAACAGTCATAAATTGAGCATATTTTTCTTGCTCAATTTGCAACTGATGAATGGCAGAGAAAATCATTAAGTACAATTTGTATTTGGCAGAACTAGTAACGGCAAAGTCACAGGAGAGAAGGCTTTCACAGAAGTCTCCTCGCTCACCTCAGGATCATAGTCTTGGAAATGTGTTTATAACCAGCTTTGCATCGAAATAATGCCTTTGTATCCGCTGTTCCTGACCTTAATGTGCTCCGAATGTTTTGATTATTACTGCTTAATTAAACCTCTTTAACAACATCAGCCTTGCATTTGTGTGTTTCACTAATAATATCATTAATTTTCTCGGGAGACCACATCTTTTCATGCACTAATGCCACACTTTTAATGACTTTAGTAAGTAAGCTTACTTACTCTAAGCAAACATGTTCAAAGCTAAAGGATCTCGAAGTTAAAATAAGAAAAATACACACAAAGATGACTTTTGGGCAAATGAAAGCAAATCTATGTAAGATTTCAGTTGTGTGTTTCCATAGACATTTGCTGATTTATTCCACTTTATAAAAACAGTGGGCATGAATGAGTGACCTCGCAGTTGTGTTGCCAGGTTTAAGGGAAGATTTCAGCATGTTTGGTCCCTATCTGAACCATAACAGTTGTATATGGACTATTATAGATAGATACTTTATTGGTCCCCATAGGAGAAATTCAGGTGTCCAGTAGCAGCAAAAATAAAAAGTTAAAATAAAGTAAGTAATAAATTAATAATCAGCAACAGCCCTTCAGGTCACAACAGCAGAGATGGAGTAGCCTCTAGGTACAATACAATACAATACAATTTATTCTTGTATAGCCTTAGGTCACAACAGAAGTCATCTCAGAGGACTTAAGTGGACTCTAGGTGGAGTAGGACAGGTCACAGCAGCAGAGGTGGAGCAGGTCGGGTCAGAGCAGCAGAGGTGGAGTAGCCTCTGGGTAGAGCAGGTTGGGTCGGAGCAGCAGAGGTGGAGTAGCCTCTGGGTGGAGCAGGTCAGGTCAAAAGGTGGAGTAGCCGCTTTGTTCAGACCATTTTCTCTGCTCTTGTCCAAAGTAAAATGCTATGTGTTTCATTAGCCTTTTTTAAAAAGTCACTATTCCTCCAGTGGATTTTCACCTGACCCGCTTCATTCGGACCATGAATCCTCTCCGCTCTGGTCTGGACCAATGCAATGTTATATTATGTTATATTTTTGGAATTACGGTGTACATTTATTAACTCCAACAATTCTAGGATTGTTGCAGGTTTACTAGGACAAAGGGGAGCAATGTTGGATTCAAACGAGAAGAAATTATAGCAGGTTATCCATTGACTGGAATGAGTTGAAATTTAGTTTAGTTTGCTCTTTAGGCTCTTCAGCGCCTCCTGCTGGTGGACTGAAGCTCACTGCACTGATTTCAAGTGGACCAGGGAGCAGTTGTTGAACGCTCCTTGATTTGGTTACATTACTTTTTCCACTTTGTACGACTAAACACACATATAGTATTTCTAAACATAAATTGTCAAACGGAAGGTAACATAATGCTCCACAAAGCAAACCGCAAACTCAAACATTCACAGGCGTGGTGTTCGACTCTTTGGACCAAATAAGCAAAAGTATGTTGTTCTTATACATAACTTCAGTTCAACACATAGTTGTGTAGACTCATAACTCATAACACAACAACAGTTCAGTTGCTCATACAACATTCCAGTCTTCCAGCTCTTTGGTTCAAGAAAGCGATGGAGCCAGAAAATGATTGCTTTAGTGCCATAGCAAACAAACAACTTTGAGTGACAGGTTTTGTGTGAAAAATCTTGCTGTGTTCAGACCATAGTGCAAAGGTTTGAAGCCAGACTTCAAACATCCTTTCAACTTTTCCATTAAGCCTCCAATACGGACAAACCCAACATAATCCCCTTTGGAACTTTTACCTTTTAATAGGATAAACACACATTTGTCACCACATTTAAAATTCACTCTTTAGCTTAGTATCTAAATGCTCTAAGTCTAAGGGCACGTTCACACTCAGTCTGGTTCACTTTAACTGGACCAATTCTGGTTCACTTTGATTCACCATGCTTTGTTTGTGGATGTAAGACCATCAGATACAATATGATAAGATAGACTCTATAGATCTCACACTGGAGAAATGTACATGTCACATTTGGCATAGATAGAATTACTCAGATTGTGCAAAAAAAAACAGAAGTGTGCAAACATGTCAAGGGTAAAGAATATAGTCTGTGCAGGATATATTACTACTACGGTTGACTTGAGTCGACACTTTGCGATACTGTTAAAACGACAGATTGTGTCAAGCAGGGTATCAAAATACAGTCAAACTCTCTGCCACAAAATGATTCACTCTGTTTTACTATTTCCCTGACCATTGAGCATAATACAATGTGAGCTCTGTTTGTGTGTTCATGTCCTAGTGATCTGAAAATCCACGATTGCCACCACCATATGAAGGCATAATATGTAAATTAGATGGGTACATTTAATTCCTATATAAACTTTGGGCCATACTTATCGTTTCTCTAACTTACAAAAAGCCTCAATCTCGTATCAAATTTAAGTTATTGAGAAATTAAGGGAAAAACCCCTGGCGCCTAAAGGGTTAAGTCAGAATACATACTTTGAAACAGCTCTGTGAGGCATTTTATTCCCAAGTGAATCAGGGAAAATGGCCCAGACTTGGTCCAGTTAAAAATAAACAGACAAACCAGTGTGAAGGCGCGCTCAGAAAGATGCAGACCAAAGCAATGGCCACATACAGAAGGATGCAGCTCAGAGTATATTGGATAAGAGGATTTATATTTGCATATTTTAGAAGTCAAACTGCTACAGGGAACCAAACTCTGGGATAATTAACAAGACAATTATCCGTCACAGTCTTAAATGACACCCAGGGCAGACATGCAGTAGAGGGCTGGAGATGGAAGGAAGTTCTGTAAAGTTATGACACTATTTCAAAAGTTAGTAGTGCGTGTCTCAGCAATACTATACACACCTGAGCTTTGTGTCAGGAAAGTGAAGGGATTGTCTGTTCAGCATGCGGGAGAATGTTTGGGTGTGTTTCTTCATTCACCACCTCTGTAAAACAGCTACTTCCACCTGACAAGCCGGAGCTTTGACAGCAGGGAAAGGCACAGAGCAAAAAAAGCTATAATAGTCTTTGCAGTCTCGCCCGTCATGCAGACAAAACTCAAAATATAGTGTAAGTTTAGTTAAGTAGTATTGAGAAAAGTATAGGAACTGAACTATCAAGACACTACACAAATTGATTTTACAGAAGACCTTTGGGACCTCCTTAATGAACCTACATGTATCGCGCTAAATAAAGGCGGCACGGTGGCTGAGTGGATAGCATTCTCGCCTCTCAGCAAAAAGATCCTGGGTTTGAATCCCGATTGGAACAAGGTCTTTCTGAGTGGAGTTTACTCCGGGTACTCCGGTTTCCCCTACCACTAAAAACATAAACACTTGATTCAATCCTCCAGCTCTGGTAGTCCTGACCAAGCCAAGCATCAGCATCTGGAGATGGGTTCCTGGGAGCTGTTACTATGGCGACCACTGCTCCTGACGTAAGCCTTAGCGGCATCAGGATGGGTCAAATGCAGAGGATGAACTGCCCTGCGGGGATTTATATAAAGATGACTTGGGCCCTGAGGCTCACCCAGGATTGTAGACCCCTGTCAGTGACAACCCTTCATCCTACAAAGCCCCTCCCTGCTTCTCCTCCATCTATATTTTTGTTTTACTTTAATTTCAATTGTACATAAAAAACCTCTTTTGCACATTTCCTGTTTGCATATTTCCTGTTGTTTGCACACCCTGAGTGATACTATTTTTGCCAAATGTGACATGTAAACTTCTCCAGTATGAGATCAATAAAGTATATCTTATCTTAATAAAATACACATTAAAGGACATATGTGTCCCCACCTCTGCACCTTCTCCACCGACTCCCACTGATGACTGCTGTCGTTGTGTCCTTGGGCAAGACACTTAACCCCACTTTGCCCAAAAAGCTCCCACTGAAAGATCAAGGCTATGCTCACACTCAGAGAGCAGCCATCCTCCTGTGGACTCACCACCTGCAGAGGGTCAGTGAGGGGCTGGTGCTATGAGACTTGGGTGGCATCTCTGACTGCCACCCCCCTGACCCAGAAATGGATTAAAGGGTAGAAATGGATGGAGGACATATGGTCTTATGTAAATCAAAATCTCAAACAATTTCCTTTGTTTCCCCCTTGATTCTGATGGGCCCAGCCTCTGCTCGCCCGTTTCTTTAGGCGCCTGTTCTATGGCTCACATTTTGTCCCATCCTGTTTTCCCAAGAGCGCCCTCTTACCAAGGTTTTATTGACACCCACAGCCGCAGTATTCATATACAGTACTGCTTTGTTTTTAAGCTCCAAAATAAAAAGCTTTGTTGTATCTGAAAAAAAATGAAAAAAAGTGGTACTATCTATATCACTATTTATGAAGTTTTATTCAGCAAGATTTTAGATTACCCCATAAAGGCACTCCCTCAACACAGTCCCCACACCAGCGTACGCAGGTTCTGAGGGTGATGCGGGTTTAGTGTCTTGCTCAAGGGCACAGCGGCAGCATCCTTCCTTGAGCCCTCTGTCCACAGACCGCTTTGATAATGAAGTTTTTCCGTGGGGACAGGAGATTAGAACTATTGGCCGTCAGATGAAAACGCGTTGGAGCTACTGCCTTCTTAGTTTTCTGCATTTTAAATAAAATTAGGAGTTTGATAAGAATGCAGTGAATGTTGTGTTTTTTTTATACTGGAATCTTCACTTCATTTTCAATAGTTTTATCAAAAAGCATAATAATTCCAAGGAAACGGTTTATTTCTTTTCCTACAACAGCTGTTTCTACAATAGGATCACTTTCACACCATGCTAACAAATAAAACTTACTGATCTCTCTACAGTCCGAAACATATTGTATATTTTTCATGGGGAACGCAAACCCCAAGTAAAACATTCATGTCCATTAACCCACTATTTCTACCACAACCACAGTTCTATCAAAAGCAAGAGCATGACCCACGCTTTTGTAAATGCACATCATTATGGACCGCGATAGAAGGACACTGAATGATAATTTTTTGAACAATAGAAAATGGTCAATTTGTTGTGCTGCAATTTCCTCTAAAACACACACAGACAACCCTATTTGGTTTGGTTTGAAAAATCAATGATACTGACTCAATAACAGCTGGGTTTCTTGCAAATGCAGTCTATTTTCGGTTCGGTCGGGCTGCTTTGATGTGAGGTAATGGATGATGCCCAAACTGGCGCTCACACTTCCATTAAAGGGTCAGACAAAGAGTTGGAGAAAGGGTAAGGCGACATTAACTAAAAGACTATTTCCGCAGTGAGGAGGTGGAAATGCGGTTGTTCCCTGTGGGCGGTAGGTGCTGTGTATTCCCCATTAGAGAACTTATGATATGTGCTATCTGCAGGATTCTATCTCAAAGTTTATGAACCGCAAACTGATATTCTTTGTATCAACCACCATCAGCGACCATGTAATCCGTGTACGGTACATGTGTCCAGTGCAGAACAAAAAACAACATGGGCTTTATTGACCGCAACTCTCTGTAGTGCAAGCGTCTGAGTGTCTGACTATTTGACTTCCACTGTCTCATTTGTCACGTTATTCACATGAATAAATTAAGAGACAGTAATGTGCATTCATACAGACTGATGGCATTTTTAGTTGGTGATGAATTGGATCTTCTCAAATGATTTGGACAGTCTGCCATACTGCTATCGCTGTAAAGCAGATTTAGTGACGTCTTGAATGACAAATCTGTGTCTGCCAATGGTCTGGGCATGTCTGATTGGATTCTGTTCTTTGGCTTTGCTGTTTTCAGAGTCAGTGGAGAAATGGTCCAACGTGATACGAACATTGTCTTTGTACCATAGACTGTATAGAGATGGACAAAGCTAACCCCCACTAGATCAATGAATCTCAATGGGAAAGTGCTCGTGGACAAAGTTTTCCTCCAACTTGCTGTAGCTCAGGCATGGGCAAACCTTTCCTCCTGAGGGCCACATTGGAAATTAGGTCAGAATCCCGACAGCCGTCTGTTATTCCAATGTTTTTCTCAGGCTTCGTTTTAAAACATAAATGTATTGTTTGTATGAAAAAAATTGCTTGGCACACAGGACAGAGGGGGATTTAAACTGAAATTACCCCACTGTACGATGAATAAATGTTCGTAATCCTAATCTCTCTTGATCTCAATCTTTATCTATATAAATTGAGGAGGGCTCAGGGGCCTGATAGAAGCATCCAAAGGGCCGCATCTGGCCCACGGGCCAGGGTTTGCCCACCACTGCTCTAGCTCTTATTCACTTACATTGAAGAGTTAACTGCTCTAGCTCATTATTGTCACACTCACCATTTCGGGCTTAAAATATATGTGTTCTGGCGCCCGTTATGATCCCGGTGTTTATATTCTTTAACCCTAACTCTACAGTAGCTTGCCTTAGCAACCATCTTAGCAACACGTCTGTCCCGGTTACAGCAAGAAACTAACGCTGGAGGGAGAAACCGCGTTGGAACCATTTGTTCAAGGACACAGACGATGGGTGGTTTGACTGGAGAAGCAGAGTAGTGTTTTACAACAGACTATAATCGTAACTCAGCAAAATAGTGCTGATCTGGATCTTGTTTAAACACCACAACTTTGAAGCAATAGAGAGGGGAATGCACACACAACATGTGCCTTTGTTAAAATGTTGAGGATTATGGCTTAGTCTAAAATACCATCATATTATGAGATGTTTTATTTGGGGTTTTTACAAGCCATAATCCAATGATCACCATTAACAAATAAATGTTTGGTACATCTGTATGTGTGTAATGAGACTTATCATATATTATCATAACTGCAGAAGTAAATACACTTTTGAATGATATTCACATTGTGAGTTTCACAATGTGAATATCATTCTAATCCAGGGCAAAAAGTGGCACAATTGAATTGAATGAAATAGCTCTGACATCTCCATTCTTCCATTAATGATAATATTATTTTCTATTCTCCTCATTGTTCTATCTCAGTTCCAGTCTATCTGCTAAATCTGAGTTTGGGGAATTTCCACACAAAAGGCTACAGTCTCAATCAAGAACCATTCATCAACTCAAGTCTCCCAATAGTGTATAATAATACTCAATAAAAACATAATAATGTAGTCCTGACAACAGCCTGGACACAGTAGTTTAAGGTAATGACAGTGTGATGGGTCTTGTTCAAGCTCATACAGTGAGTATAGTTTTATAAAACTGTCAGCGTTCATGGTAGATAGAGCGGGGAAAGTCTGGAACTTTGTAATCCAATGTCCAGTTTACTAAATCCAGCTTTAGTGTTGTTTTTCATGTGCAGTCTCAGATCAAACGTTCCCTTTTGTGTTCCCAAGGGTTCTTTCCGCGGGGCTCTTTCTCCCGCTCCACAGAAAGCCTCAGCTTCAGCCCAGAAGAAAAAAACTGCAGACAACGCTGTGGTCTCATTCCTTCGCAGCATCGTAAGTCTTTAATAGTTCAAAGTAAATGGTTCCTTCATCTTTATCTTGTTCTAAACTTTCTTCTCATGTTTGCTGTTATTGGACTTTCTAACTTTGTGTGACTAAATATCTTCTCCCAGGTTTCCCCCGCCCCTCCCAAGTCTAGGGTGAGTTCAGTCTGACCAGTTTCACATTTATCTAAAGACAGAAAAATGCATTATTCAAATATTTGCAACAACATTTGCCATAACTTGGTTTTTGGATTGCACAGGACTCCTGACTCCTCTGTTGGGGATCTGCCACTCGCCATCTGTTTCTACGGTTATCGCCGGGTCTCAAACCAATTTATCTTGTTCCATTGAGATATAAAACAAACAGTGCCTACCATTCCAGGCCAAACAAAAACATTTCCAATATTTTGGAGAAATAAGAACTCTCTCCAACTGGGAAATGTGCCTAGTGCAGCTTTGAAAAAGAAACATCCGTGATAAGGGCAGGTGGCAAGGCGTTATGCTTTGTAATTGATTTCTTATTCATAATACCTATATCCGAGCAAAACTGGATATTCTTAGTTAGAAATCTTGATTCAAGTACGTTTTGACCGCCTCCAAAGCATGCAATGTCTTTCATGTTTAAATCATGTGTGGCAAGGCAGTGCAAGTTTATTTGTACAGCACAATTCAAGGCAACTCAAATGTATATTCCTGACCATGCGACATTGCACTATTCTGTACAATAAGTGTTTTTTTCTACAATTAAACTGAAATTTGAAATAGTCCCTCCTCTTAGCTTAACTTAGCCTGGTCGTACCACACCACAGTACAAATTAAATTTCGTACTAAGGTCTGGAGGTGCTCCATTGAGCTCCGTTTACAGGTGGGAGGGGTTAAATCCTTTTGCAGATTGAAACGATTGGATCTGAGTTTACCGTGACGTATGTAGTGCGCCCGAATGAGTCGTTAGCATTTAGTATTTAACCTAGCCATCTCCTTTGCCGCTAACGAAGCCCATGGGGAGTAGTGCCACAATGTTTTCCAGTGATTACATTTGCTAAACATTCCTTTTGCTCCGGCCTCAATTTCTTGATAGAACCAGACCGGATTACTTTACTATCAAATTCTTCGCCATTGCCAAACCAAAACCTGCCCGTTCGACGCGAACTCTTGACGTCACCCACAACTAACTAAAACACCTGCCTTCCGCGCTCTCTGAATGGTCGGTCGAAATTCAACCGATTGTAATCGCTAACACGGGGACTAGACCCAGACGTTACATGCAGAGAAATGATTATTGAGCGGAGTGTACGGATGGCTAAACTTAACTGTGACCAGCACAATTTTCTGGAGCTAAACAGATTAACTAATAAGTAGGGGCCTACGGGATTTTAACTCATTTCTGCAGAGGTGTGCATGGGCTGGTCTTAGCAGTACTTCGCGTATTCAAAAAGCTCTCACATTTTGAAAAATAACTGACTATAATTCAAAATGTGAATTCAATGAACTCCAACTACCAAACAAACTGAATCTGCATTTTCTGTAGGTCCCATCGGTAAATCTTGCTTTACAACCAACAAAACATACCAACATTAAGATAAACTGCACCGGATTAAAGCACATTTTTGACTAACAATTTCTCATTGCAATTACCACTGATTTATGAAAACATTAGAGATAATTCAGACATAGATCTACAAGCAATTATGGCGCTCTGAATTGGCCACAACTTGCATCGGTGGAGCAGTAAAAAATAATGACCTTTGTGTTCTGTGGCTGCCTTAAATTGTACCATTACTCACTGCGATTATGTGCTTTGCCTTCCTCCCCCCTCTCCCCCCCTGGATCTGGACCCTTGCATCCTCTTCTGCTTTGCACCGAGTAAGCCCTCTCTCCTCTCTTCTTCTTCGTCACCTTTTTTTTTACCTGTGTGTCTTTGTCTTCTTCTTGTATTCTTAGTGGGGAGGACTAGCCGCCAAAATAGGCCTGGTAGGTTTGGGGGGTTTCAGACAGATAGACAGAAAGAAAGAAAGAAAGAAAGAAAGAAAAGAATTGTCATCATGCCTAATTAAACTGATGCGTCGCTTGGGATTGAACTCATGGCTTTTTACCATCACCGCCATCAAGCACTTTAGCCGTCGTAATCTCACCATACATCAGCTGTAATGGCCTCATTTGCCGCAGACCATGGAGCATTTTGAACATTTTCTCACAGCGCTGCTTCCGTATTATATATTTCATGATAACACAAGCGATTTTCCAGTCCTCATTGGCCTCTTTTTTTTCTCTTAGTCAATGCAGAAGTCATTAGGGAAGGCTTTCTTATGTTTGCCGAAGGGGGGGAAAAAATGTTATGACATAAGTCGTGACACTGTTATGTATGTATTGTCATTATCCAGCACTCCAACTCGTGTTTGCACTGGGGTAATATTGAGGAAAAGCAGCTATAATACTGGTAGTGTTTGAAATGGATTCTCTTAATATGCAGGTGCAACTCTGAAAATAGGTTCATATTGTTCAAAAGTTTGTATACTTCTGTAAACTTCAGCTTAAAATGTAAAACAAAGACGGTATATGATATAGACTCATGACATGTAAAGTAGCATATGGCTAGCTTATGAGAAGTATGGCTTATAGTCCGTATTCAAAATAATTCAATCATTTAGATGTATTTTAATATTTAAATCATGACAGCAATCGTCTCGGGAGGACTTTAGTAAAATGCCGATTCACCAAGAACAGATCAGAGAATCCATAGGAGCTATCGGTCCATAGGGAGGGGAAAACCGATGTCTATAAATGTCCATAAATGTCCTTAAATGTCCCGGATCAGCACTCTCCTTACACCCTCCTGAATTGGCCACAAAAGCAAAAAAAAGTGTGATAAAAATCAAATTTTCTGAGCAAAATTTCAACATTAAACAGAAAAGGCTTGACATTTCTCACTTTCTGTGTCATACATAAGTTTCACATTCTAAATTCAAATACACATGGATTTTTTTAAACAATAGTCACATTTTCAGAGTTTCACCTGTATTTGCTCACAACTAAACAAACAGAATAAATTTTTTCACCTAATATTTATACGCATCATTTTGGGACTAGATTAAACAAAACGTGATCGCATCAGCGTGCAGGAAGTAAAGAAGTCGCTCTAACCAGCGCTGGGCGACACACAACACAGTGAAGTAATTATTGTGTGTCTGTCTGTGGAGGTGTGGACACTGCCGTCAGAATGCCCGCCGAGCACTGACAAATACAAAAGAACAAGAACAATACGATAAGACTGAGCAGGCATGAGGACAATACCAAGTGCAATAGTTTAAAGCAGGGGTCTCCAACCTTTTTTCATCAGAGAGATACTTTTATACAACAGAAGAGGCAAAGAGCTTCTCCTTTTTGCAGTCGTGATAAAAATCCACGTGATAATTCCGACAAAACATAGAAAACACAAGGAAAATATACCACAATACTGTACAATCCTATATATTTATACTTATGATAGATTGACTCAAAAGTGAATCTTTCCGGATCATGTGTAAAATTCTAATTCTTTTGTGGAGCTTCCTGAAACGGGCTGGCGAGCTACTGCTTGCTCCCGAGCCACAGGTTGGAGACCCCTGGTTTAAAGTAACTTGACCAAATATGTACAATCTATGTGATAATAATTTGTTTTAGCTTGGTTGTTTTCATGCTATACCATTTTGCGATTATACTCATTACAGGTGAAACTCTGAGCATTAGAATATCGTCCTAAACTTTATTTCTGATCTTAAAATGTGAAACCAATACATATAATAATGTAATAGACTCAATACCTGCTTTGTTAGAACTTTGGTGAATATAACCAACATTATAGAACGAACAAGGTTCAAGGTTCAACTAACTCAAATAATGGCCTGAAATGTCTCAGTTTGCACATATGGGTAATATTAGTTTGACATTTTAAGTTCAATTCCAGAAGTAAATAGACTTTTGAACAACATTCTAATATTTTGAGTTTCACCTGTACGAGTGTGTAATAATCAAAAAACATCATAATAACCATTTAAAGATGACAAAGGCCTGTAAAGTGGAGAAAAGCATTTGCAAAAGCAGATAAATACGACAATGTCCTGCAAGTTCTGTTAGTCCATGATTTTAATAACACTAAATCACCTCCAATAAGAATAATCATCAGTAAAAATAAATATCGTGATCAGAGATATGTTTGCAAATGGTTCCTTAAAATGTGGATAGAAATGAAAGCAGCCAATGAGGGTTGACATTTGTTTTTTATTATTATTTGCCTAATGTGTTGGTGTGTGTTTCTCAGGGCGATCAGAAGTCACAGCCAAAAGCCAAGAAGGCCGCTGCAGGGGACGGCAAAGGATCCCTGACTAGGATCTTCAAAATGGTAAAATAATGAGGCTGGACTGTCGCAGCAGTAGTTTTGTACCGGCGATTATAGTTCCATGTTTGAAGCCATCTCTTTGACACTCTCGCTCCTTTCTCTCGTTGCTCCAGTGATAACAGCATCAAAGTGAGTGAGTACTGACATACACAGGGAACTTGACTCTCTCGACTTTGATACACTTAGACAATAGGCTAATAATATCATTATCATCGCGGCTGCAGCTGAATAACAAAAGGCTTTTATCGACTGAAGAGGGTCCGTCCTCCAGCGGACAGTGGCTGGAGCGATTGCAGAGGAGACAAACCTGCTTCTGCACGTTTACTAACATTTAAGTTGTTCTCATGCTGAACCTGCCCGTGCTAGGCCCATGATAATGCAAAATAACAGTATAATTTCAATACATGCAGTATATACATTTGTCCAGTGTGAGATCAATAAAATCTATCTTATCTTATATCTCATTTTCACATTAATATTATTTCATCAAGTTTCAGTAAGGATGGGAAGCACACAGTGGGACAAATAAAGAATCTTTTATCTTATTGTTAAAATAGATTGGATTTAAAAGAGTGCTTTAGTCTTCACGAGTCAACAGTGCAGCAACACACCTCATCATTAAATCATAAGTAGTGAAAACAGTCGTCTATCGGCTTTGTTTTCATGTGCGGCCTTCATGTGAGAGACCATTTTTAGTGGCCCCTGAAAGGATTTTCATGATTATTACGGTAACCTACAGCAGTGATAGTATTGGGATACTACAACGTGTTATACTTCATTTTAAAGCTTATTGTCTCAGGGAAATAACTAAATATGTTCTAAAATATTAACTAACAGAAGAAGTAAAGGCCCAACTAAATGATAATATAAATTTCATTATTTTTATATGTAACTATGAATCTTCAATCATCATCATCTTTTATGATATTTGACCCAGTTGTTATTGAATCTAAACCTATTAGAAAATAAAATCCAAACTCATGTCAAAGATGAATTTGTCTAAAAACAGAAACATTTAAAAAAACAAAAACTAATAATTATAATGATAATAAAAGTAAATACATTTTATACTTATGGCCCCAACCAGCTCTTATGTTTTTAAACTTGTCCTGCGACCAAAATGACTTTGACACCCCTGATGGAGCCGGTGAGGTTTATATACAGGTGCACTGTAAACAAGTGCTATGTTCTTGAAGGAACTGAAGCCTGTGCAGACATATGTTCTAAACTTAAATATGTCTTCTTTATGAAAAAACGTGCACATAATGGTCTCTTGGGCTGTTATCAAAAGTCTTCCATTAAAATGCAATCCCAAAGTGGGCTCCTCCTTATAACATACAAACACACGTGCACTTGGTTAATGCACATCCATTAAAATGACTGTTCAGTTTTACGTATTTGACATTTCTTTAAGTGCACTTACAGCACATGGAAATCATGTTCTATTAAAATGTTGACTTGGTGCTAGTTTACCCGGGCCACTCACCAACGAGGCTACTTCAGTTACGTATGTGTATATGGTGGATAAGCAAAAAGTAACAAAAAACGCACAATAGGTAAAATTATAAAGACGGGGTAGTTGAGCTGTGTATGTACAGGAGAGACTCGGAAAATTAGAGATTTAATTATTTCTACATTCAACTCAGAATGTGAAATGAATATATGACACTTATCACACGCAAAGTGAGATTTATCAAGCAATTTTTTGTTTTAATGATGATAATTACAGCTTGTTCAAAAATATACATCTCAGAAACATATATAAATATACATTATTAACTGGACTGAAAGCCATAACCATCAAAATTATGACAAAGGCTTTGCATATGTCACTTTGCACGTAGTCACACTAATTATTTTCACATTTTAAGTTGAATTACAGAAATGAAAGAGTTTCACCTGTGTATGTTTCTTCCCCAGATCCATTGGTTGTGCAAAGCCAACTAGACTGATACAAAAATCCAAAATGTGAAAGTTTTCTGACCTCTCATACAAGACGACTAATATATGTGTATGCAATTTAAGTCAATCATAAAAATACTATATCGCCAAATGCTTCAGATGAAACGTAATCACAGCCTGCATATTAAAACATACAAATAAAGTTATTCATTCAAGCGCTGCAGCAGACTTTGATGATTATCCATCTAAAAAACTGAGAATATTGACTTATTCCCAATTGGCAGAAAGTTCTAATTTACAAGGCTGGGTTTCATGACTTGATTTGTTTACATGCATCTTGAAAAGGAGTGGCAGCTTTCATGCTCCGCCGGCTCTCCCGCTTTGCTTTTAATTAGCCTCTCTCTGTGACTGTACCTGAAAACTCTGCAATTACTGAGCCACAGGCAGACCGAGATTTCCCAGAGGCCATGTCTTCATCAGAAACCGGCTCAACGCTCGTCACTAAGCCGAAAGCGAGGGCGAAGGGGATTCAGAATGGCATTTGTGAAGCTAATTGGCACATAAACAGCACCGTGGACCAATTCACACTATAGGGCCCATCAGCTGTTAATTACCCATTGTATTTATTTAAATCTTTGCACAGTTATAATCAAATTTAACTAAACTGGACGGATTTGAACAGCTGCCCAGAGCGTGTTTATGCACAAAAGATTATCTATCAATGTCGTCCAAAAAGATTCGTCTAATTCATAGACGCTTACACACATTTGGCAATGTCTAAAGTTTCATTGAGATTTTTCAGCACATTTATATAACACTTTGGCAATGACATTTTATTACCTAAAAGGGCACTGAGAAAACTCGTTGTGGATGAGTCCGGAAGATAGTCATTTCCTAGATAAAAGCAATCGACAGTGTTTTTATTGCTGAATGATGGAAATGATGATGGCGCTGTGAAGAAAGATTAGTGCAGCGATTCTCAATTTCTTCCTCCATGAATCATCTGAACTGTTGGCCTCCAGAGAAGCACCACAGTAGAAAATCGATATAGGTTCAAACTCTTCTGGGTTTAGTTTGGGGCTAAAACAAGTGAATACTGTAGTAGCAGTGAGTTTATGGAGTTAGAGACTCGATAACTCCTGTTTCTTCTCTGTGGGCACTGTTCCATCTGCCTTCTCTCCAGTCCTGCACCTTAGTCTCTGCTCATCAGCTTGAGGAAACGTGTCGTTTTTATGTTTTTTCACAACAGCTGAAGAGTGATTGACAGCGCTTCTGACCAATCGGAATTGACGTTCGCCGACGTCAGATTGTTTTGGTATCTACTCAGCCCGACTAGAACCAGGGCCAAGCCGTTACTAAAATAGTACCGGGTAGCGGCTAAAGTGAGCCGGTGGAAACGCCCGCAAACCAGGGAGGGGAGAGTCGAGTCGAGTAGAGTCGAGTAGAGCCGGGCCCGTGGAAACAGGCCTCAAGTCTCTGCTCATCATGGCTCTGCTCATCAGCCAGTCAGCCTCCAGACAGCTGCATTCACACAGTGCTTGCTTCATCTTCACTCAGCTTCAACTCAGAAAAAATATCTCAAAATTAATATTGCAACAACACAAACTAACCTGTTTCACGACGATCAAATAATTGGCTTAGTACTATCTATACAGATCTCATTCTACATTGAATGGTTGATTTCTGAATGGTTGACCCATTGAGAAAGGAAAAGGACTCCATTCAGCAGCTTCCTACTTTTACTTTTTTTTTAATCTACCGCATTAATCTAACACAGTGGTCCTTAACCTGGGTTTGACCGAACCCAGGTTAAGAAGCCGGTCTCAGGGGTTCGGCAGAGCTGGCGCAAAACAAGAAGCTGCCTGAAACTGTGGATAATCTTAAATAAAACCTTTGATCTGCATAAAGTGCAGTTCCTTTGTTTCTGTAATTTGTTATGAGACGTAAACAAACTATACATACACAAACAAAATATACCCTTGTGCCTCTGTAGGATGCTCTCTGATATAGTTATGTGAGACAGTGAAACGATAAGAATTTGAAACTACATTTGGAACATGAATCAAGTCTTCAGAAGCAGATTATATTTTTCCACTAGATGTCAGTGTTACAAGCTAGTCTGAGCTAGTTCAGAGGCTTCGACACATTTGAAACAGTCTGGGAATGAAAGCATCAGTGTGCTACAGGGCTTCATATGTCCATCACCTGAAATTGATTTGAAAAAAATCTATTTTATTTATCACTAAAAGAGGGGTTTGGTGAATGCATAAAAGAAACTGGTGGGGTTTGGTTCCTCCATGAAGGTTAAGAGCCACTGATCGAACGTATAAGTGAATGTGTTAAGAGAAGCTTAACACAATGGCAGCCTTGCATCAGTCAGTATGGCAACACCTGTGGCAAGCCTCTATTCAGTATGGATTGCATGAATGTTGACTTCAGTGTAGTGCTCGGATTTGACATTGCAGGAGGGAAAGCAATAACCTCTGGAGTCAAGTGGATTTCAAACCATCCGCCACAAAAGTCACGGAACATTTCTCAAAAAGCGCGTAAACATTATCGGTCGAAGTGATAAAGTTCAGGGCCAGAGCAGCATCACATAAACCGTAGCATCTCGAACACATTTATAATATTTCATAAAAGCTGTCATGTGTGAGGGCTGCAGGTGATTCCAACTCTCGGATACGAACCTTAATCCCTGTGCTAAATTCAAGGCTTTTAAGCAAGTCATTTTCAACACTTTAATTTGGAAGGTAATGGCTTGCAAATTAGCACTTCACTAAAGACATCATATTGAACCTTTCTTTTTTTTTTGGCTGTCTAAAAAAACCCCTGCACACTACCCCTCTGATTGTCCGTGCTCTAAAAGCCTCGGGACAATTAGCGGTGAATATACTAATCACTTCATAACCGCAGCCATTGTTAATCCCACTCCATTATAACCAAATGTGTGTTTATTCTGCAGGGGAGCCGGAGCGCATCTCCATCCAAACGCTGAGGCCTCTGCAACCCGCCTGTGCCCTATCATCCACAAAGAAGAAATTATCAAATGTCAAAAACCTTTATGCACTTATCACCCAACCATAACCTCCTAACATAGTTCTGTTTTGGCTGGTAGATATAGCAACACAATCTGTTTCATGTATGCTAATGTATCTGTGGTCTTACTATAATTTATTGTATTGCCATGTAGCCTGAATGACCCCCTTCCCCCTTGGCTCTCTCAATATCTGTCTTTCTGCAAATGTCGTAAAGGTATTTTCCTAACACAGCATGGCTCAATAGACAAGTGCGTGGGGAGTTTGAAGGTTAAAAGGCCGGTTACAAGCTATGCAACTTGACCGTCATTGCCTATTGTAGAATGGATGAAAAGGTCCACAGCCTTTCTATGAGTAAAGGGTGGTTTTATGTCTCGTCTGTGCTAAAAAAAAATGGTTTCCTTGTTTTCTGTGTATTAACTATTTTACAAAGCGGAGAGAGCCATTCAAGTCATGATTCGTATATAATTGGTTAAGGGTCTTTGTCTCTCTACATGTTGTGGGTAGCTGGATGTGACCTGTGTGAGTTGATCTAAAATGTCTAAATTCATATTGGAAAACTTAAAACTGGAAAATGTTTCGGATATAGCACTAATATCAAAGTACATACTGGCAACATATGTACATGTGTATACTGCCTTGCCTATTGTATGTATGTATGTTGTTAGGCTGGTATTCTAAAACCAAGTCCTAAAAATAGTCCAAAGTGGATATTTCCGAAACCATTTTCAACATGGTGCTCAATGTCACTAACTTCATATATGTTTTGGTGAAATGATCAGAATTAAAAAATACTCTGTAGCCATGTGCCGTACTTCCAGATGCGATCTTGTCTCTCTATGTCTATGTGCTTGAGTCGTGCTGTACCAATTTTCTCCATATATAGGAATGAATGTAAATGCACCCGTTCTAAGTGTAGTAAACGTGACCAGCCGCAGAAAATTAAATAAATAAATATGATAAGAACCCACTTGAATGAAGTGTGATTTGTGCCTGTGGGGATATGAATAAGCAGATGAGAAGGTCAGTGGGATGGCGGCAGCGACAGAAGCTATTGTCTTATGCAGGAAACAAAGGACTCTATGTAAATACATGTCCGTGAAGTTTTATTTTATATATTTAGCCAGCATGCACAAGCGGTCAAAGTTATTCAACTGTGACATTAGTTGTTTCTGTGTCTGGAATAATACAAATATTATCTCTTGAAACCTTAAAAATGGTTAGCATAGTTGGTCCAGTGTTTGTGTGTAAAGAAAAACCTTTGGGCAGAAAAGGTCAGGTTTTAGTTTAATCATTATTTTGGACAGATGATAATGGGACTATTTTCCTTGTCCTTTCATGTTTTAGAATGTGAAATAATGTCTTAAGAAGAAAATATATGTATGACGTATGTAAGCTACTGTATGCATAAGTATGAAGGGGGAAAAAATGCTAAGCTACCACTAAAGAAGAGTAAAACATAAATATATTACAAAAATAAATAAATACAAACATAATTTTATCTGAGAAATTGACAACATAAATTAATGGGATATGCTTTACATTTAAAAAGGCAAAAAACTGCTCTGAGTGGGATGTCAAAGTGATACAATGACATCCTATTGTTACAAGACGGAGACGGTAAAAGGAGCCGAGTTGGACATTTAACCAGTGTTGTGCCAGTTCACAGCTTTTCTGAACTAGTTCAAGTTCAGTTCATACATGCTCAAAGTGAACAGTTCACGTTCAAAGTTCACATTTTTAATTCTGAACTAGTTCAAAGTTCAGTTCATTTTACTTTTTTCGTGAGATACTTAAATACATATTTTTTTCACACTACGAGCTATATATATATATATATACAGGGCTGGACTGGGACAAAAAAACGGCCCGGGCATTTTTTCCTTTTTAGCGGCCCAGGCAACTCAAAAGGTTCAAGGAGCCATATTTAACAAAAAAAACTAAAAACAACATCTGTCTGGAGCCACACACACACACAAAAACAGCGTTGTATAAGGCTTATATAAAGGTAACAGGGGCTGAAGCTGTATTAGCTACATTAGCTACCTTAGCTATATTAGCCTAATATCTAAATGACAAAGTAAAGGCTAAACACATAAAAACCATTCAGGATTATCAAATGTGTATTTTCATTGCAGCGTGTCCTGGAGAGAATGATGCACCACGTGACAACTCTGCTTTAACTTTAACCTTCATGCAATTGTACAAATAGAGTAAATAAATCTGCTTTTTGTCTCCGAGTTCACCTGCATCACTGTCTGTTCATATCCATCACAGGCTGAAGTTTGCTGCAGCTGAATGTCCTTAACGGCCTTTTCTTTCACCGTCTTTGCGAAGGTTTTTGAAGTCTGAAAATAGGTGCTCTGACTTTATGATGAATTAATCTTTCAGTGAACAGTGGTTAAAGCTTCATTGTTCCTCTTGTTGCAACAAAACTTTTCATTACATCGCAAACATGAAGCAGTCCTTCCTCATTGACTTAAAGCAAATGTTCATTCTCATTCTTAGTCCAGTCTTATCGACTCTCTCTCACTTTATCTTTGGGATCCATGCGCACACACAGTCTATAATGCACACACGCCGGTTTGTTTACAGCAGCGGCCGCCTGGCACGGGCCGCGTCACAGGATATGACGCACTACGTTGACAGAAATGCTAAAATTGAATATTACTTATACAAGTTTTTGCAGCATTGAAAAACGTTAAGAATGTTTTTCCTCCTACAGAAACCACATTGAAACAAGAAATAAAATATAGCCCTCACACTCCATTTTCAGACATTTTTGAAAAGGCTCCAGGAGCCACTTTAGGGGCACTAAAGTTTGCCGACCCCTGGTTTATACAGTATGTGGAAGCAAATACTGTAGAGGATCAGGATGTCTGCAGTTTCAACAATAAAATAAAGTACAATAGTTTACATTACAAGAGAGTAATAAACATGTCTCAGAGTGAGGGAGGTGGACACAGACAATACTAGTGTTTGTTACAGGGATGAGAATTGGTCAAAAAAGACTGAAATGCATATTGTCAGCCATTTGCTGGCTCTAAATCTGTTTAATCTGTTCACAACATTTTACTTTTGGGCTCAAACATGAACTTTTAATGCAATGGAAAATTTAGGTACCCGAGCTTTAATTTAGAGGAGAGGGGAGACGCAGACTGTTTTCTGCAGCGGTGTATTTATTGGGTGCACAAATTACGAAAAGACATGCATGGTCCTGTGCGCGTTTATGGTCTTGGGTACATGGGCACGTTGCGGCTACGCGCTCACCGTGTTGTGAGCGGTTCCCGGTGAGCGGTTCCTGCGTCCAGCTCAGAGGAGCTGGACGCAGGAACACTGCGGCCGCTGAGGTGGTGGAATCCCGTTCGAGTACATACAGCAGGTGCCCCGCGGACACGCACGCTCCCCTCGAACAGTTCTCAACGGATTTACACTTTTCACAACAAACATGTTTTTTGTATGACAGACCGGCCCATATATGGGCATCGGCCCTTCGGGCATTGCCCGGTACGCCCGATGGCCAGTCCAGCCCTGTATATATATATATATCCTGTACACCCACAGGAGGAGAGTCTTTTGACTACAAAACAGACTAGATTTACATGGTTTTCAATGGGAGCAAAACGGAGTTGCTCCATCTCTGCTCATAAACTACAGACAGTAATGCGCTGCAGTGCGTGTGTCCATACTTTATGTCAAATGTAAACGGTGTAAACTTCTCGCTAACTCACCCTGTGTTTTCATCACGACTCGGGCACATGTGAAAAGCACCAGCTCACAGCGCCGCACCACAACACAGAGTCGTGGTGCGTTCACAGACGGTGGAAACCGTAGGAATTTTTAGATTTCGGCGGAAAAAGTGTGAGAATACAGGAGGGAGGAACTTTCTCTCGTTGCGTTTTAAAAGAGAAAACAGATTCCAACGTTCATAGTGATGTCTGCCGTTCATGACACATAAAATGAACTAATTCACGTTCAAGTTCTTTTTAAAAAAATGTGTTGCGTTCAGTTCAACGTTCACGAAAAAATGAGCGTGTTCAATGAACGCGTTCTTTTGAACGCGTTCTTTTGAACTCGTTCACGCACAACACTGCATTTAACCTAAAAGTTACTGGTATTAGGTATTAGCATGGCTGGATCTCAAAACACAACTCAGGTCTGTTTTTGATGAAGCGCAATGTAGAAAAATGGTTAAAGATGTCTCATTCAAATGCATACATTAATCAGTTTGAACCATTTGCTTCCGATGGATCACAGCACCATACTCACCATCTGAAAACATTCGTCACATTTGAATTATTCACAGCAGGGAGACTTTAACGTTCAGAGCCCAGAGCCAGTTTCACCGTTATATAAATCAAACACAATTCTAGACCATTATCAGCGCACTTCCTGACACTTTCATTCTTCCGTTTCCAAGAACAACTCCACAGCATATTTCCCCCTCAATCGTCCACAGAGAAATCAAGATTTAATTGAAAGCCGAACATTTACATTTGAGATTTGATTTAATTCAATATGTGGTGGAAAAGATTGTGGATGTATGGGGCTGTTTCTGCTCTCACCATTAGACTGAGGCCATATCTCGCCTCATTTGTTGTCTTTGGCCGGAGGTGAGCACAGTTTTCATGGTTATTTTGTCTCGAACATAGACACATCCTCCAAGGTATTTACTAAAGATTAATTTGGTTAATTCTGCAGCTGAGAGAAATGCTGCTGCAGGACACGGAAAGCACTGTGAAAGGACAGAACTAAAGCGAGTTAAGAGGGTTATGAAGTATATTCTGATAATAGTCCTGCGTTGTGACTGATAAATATTGGACTAGATAGATAAAGGTTTGAAAATCTATAGCCCACAAGTTATTGCTACGTTCAGCTCATCTTTTCACTGTTTTCTGAAGGATAGAGGACAATTTGAGAAAAAGGATTCAGAGCTGGGCAGTTAATATTGTCGCTTAGTGGAGTTCATGATAGATGATAGATGTCTTTCAAAGCCAAAAATGGCCAAGAAGGCATTTAGATTAGCTGCAGACTGTGAACTGATGACCAAACATACTTAGGCTTACGTAAAAAAATATTTAATCTTCTTCATAAATATTTCCATTAGAAAAACAAGTGCATATAGAAAATAAGCCTTTTCTAGTCTGTACATTTGCTTCTTTCAAAACAAAACTGATATACACAAGTAATTACAGAATATACATATTAACAAAGTCACTTCTACAGGACAGCAATGGTTGCGAATGGACCATAGGAGGTACAGTTGATATTTTTGAAATTGTCCATAAATATAAGAGCGGAGTGAGCTGACACAGCCTGGGTCTGAGGAGGCCAGGCACCACACGTCTCTGTTAGCAGGTCAACATGTCCTCGAGGGGAGACGCTGTGATGCACTGCAGTTTGAAGGCAATCAAGACTTTTATACATCTGTTATTAAGAAAATTACTATGAAAATTTGCTTAATTTTCAGGAGTAGATCAACTATCACTACTTTTGTCTTTACCTTAAATGTCAAGGATATTGTATTCAGCAAAAACAACTATCATTTAGCCTTCATTGTTGCTGTTTTTAAAAATAATATTAACATCTCTTTTAAAAAGCGTAATCTACTTCTAGAGATCAACATGCAAAAGAGAAAGTAACAGCTCCTCCACAAACATAATTGTGATGAAAAAAGAAAAAAAGGCCGTCTGTACAGTGTTATGAGAAAACGTGCCAGTGTCCCGAAGACTCAGGAACCACCTCCAGATCCAGTTCAGGGGGCGCCGTGTCGTCCTGGCCCAGGGACACGTCGTGGATCTGACCTGGAATCACACATGTCCATGATGAAGTTTTATATGAACACATTCTCATTGCAGAAGGAATCATGAAATGTCTTGACAAGTTGATTGATGGATTGATGCATACAAAATCAGCCCGTTAAGTTTTACACTGTTTCCATTGTGTTTTAATTGCAAAACTACTGTAATACAAAATGCTGTTAGCTGAGGGTAGAGATCATTCAGAAGGGCAAATAACAAACACAGGCTGAAAGGGCTGATGGAGGAAATGTGTTCATGTAGTCAGCCTTGACTATGACCCAGAGAACAAAAGCTCCCAAAGTGCGCATAAAAAAAAGGTACGCCTGCCATAACTTTGCCTTCAACACGAGCCTGAAACATTCTATCGACCATTTGTGTAACACTTCTATTCATTGTGAAGCCCTAAATGTCTCCATCGTGTATTTTATCTTAATTTAGCCAGGCCTTGACATTAAGCTTTGTCAGTCAAGTACCATTTATATTTTACTTCCCCAATGTCAAAAGTTACTTGCTCAAATATTTATCAATACAATGGGTTATCAAGAGATTGGCAATAAAGTGGCACTAACTGTGGAAAATAAATCCACTCTCAGCCCGAAAAGTCAAATAATGACTCACACTGTTGTGCTGTGTTCTGTTTGATTTGTTCCCAACATTTTACTTTTGTGCACAACCGACATGCATTTTTAATGCAAGGGGAGTTTTGGTTGCGCAGGAGGGGGAGACACGGGGGAGACCTGGACTTGCAACAAGCTGGGGATGGTCCTGAACGCGTCTCAATAAGATAAGAGTTCCTTTATTCGTCCCACAGTGGGGTCCGAGCAGAGGATGCAAATCCTGTTCGAGCCCGAACAGCTAACGACAGAAAGTTCCCGCGGTCATACATTTCACAGAAATGACATTGTCAGCAGAAAACAGTGGGGAATTTTGGATCCATGGAAAATTTTGAAGAGAATTGGTCAAACAAAGATAATCAGACGTGTCCGCTCCCGGCTCCAGAGGAAGAAATGCGAGAATGTGTTCTCGGGCTGAATGGGTTAAAGCAGCCATTCCCAAACTCAGTAACACCGAGGCCCCCTTAAAAATCTGACGGGTCTGAGTGGCCCCCCCAAAATAATAACCAAGAAGACAACATTAAGAATAGGCTCTTCTGGTTATTTTATTTTGGGGAAATAGCCTCTGCTACAAACATTGTAATACAAAAATGATTACAGTGGATTATTCAAGTCAAATAATGAACACAAATATTTTAATATTACAAACAAAACATTATAAATTTAACATTAAATAATTATATATATATATATATTTTTTTTTATGACCTCCCGCGGCCCCCCTGCAGTACCCTCGCGGCCCACCACGGGTCCGCGGACCCCACTTTGGGAGACACTGGGTTAAAGTAATACTTCACTTGCCCGATCGGGCAACTTGATAAAACAGCGCACTTGCCCGTCCCAAATCTTTAGTTTCCCCGGGCAAGCGTACGACCGTTAATGTCGAGCCCTGATTTAGCCACCTCTTTTATTTATACCCAAGCAAACACATACGCACCTCTATGTACAATTTCTAATTCACGCTATAGCAGTAATTTGGTTACAGTCCCTTCTTTTTACCTTCTTATTTTTATATTACATGTATAATTTACAACAGTAGTTGTCTCAGAGAACTTCAGAAAGATGTCAATTCACCAACAGCAGATCAAAGACTCAAACAATTCAAACATGGGAAATAAAATAATAACAAACACATAAGTCATGTTTCCACGAGTTCCTGATAAAAGGAGAGGGTGAGACAGCTACAGGAACCGTCCTCTCCCTCGTCCTCTCAGTGGCAGTGTCTCCACTGCAGAGCAGGATCCATCGGCGACGTCATGAGTTTCGATTGCCGCAAAATCAATAATCATATATTTTACGGTCGGAACCGCTTTCGACTCCAACGGGGCTGGCCCTGGAAAATTACCCCAAAGTTCCTGTGGTGGCAACGCCACAATAGAAGCCATTGGTCCTTAGGGAGCGGGATGAACGATGTCCATAAACGTGAATACATTTATGGTTTCTCACTGTCCTTGCTTAGGCCCAGCTGCACCAGTAAGGAACAAGTGGGACATTTTTTTGAGAAACCAGTTTGATTCCCTGATCTCTGTTGGGAAATCAACAACTGTTTTTGGGATAAAGAAAACAAAAATCACACACATTGAATTTAAATGAAACACATCTTCCAATACTTGAATTTGGACAATGACTAATATAGGACAAATCAATCAACGCCATTAACTTTCATAACACAGAGCACAAAGAGACATTAACCTGAGGTAAAAAGACAAACCTGAACAATACCACTTTGAAGCAAGAGTTATTACTTTGGACCAAAGTAAATGACTTGAAAGAATCTGAACAAGACAGAATGATGTGTTGGTGTGCGTGTGCATGTATATGATAAGTAAGGTTTTATCAGGTCCAATCTGCTCTAACGAGAGGAGCTGTCAAGTTGAAACAATCAGAGTGAAGCGCTGTTACTGCTTCTCGAGAGGAGGCCGCCGCCGCCTCTCCGCAGTCAAGTGTCGGGACTCATGCTTTAATGAGGGGCTCATTTCTATAGGGTTCCAGACCGTCTCAGAGAAATGAGAAGACAACGCAACAATAGGTTACCAAGTTGATTTCATTAGTGCGCTGCCTTGTAACTTTGCCAAATGAAAAAAGCAGATTCATGCTGGTAAAGCAGGCTGAGATTAGACATCCTGTTGTGGTTTCGTGTTTTTTTCAAGGGCTCCAAAAATGAAACCAACTCAAAAGATCAATCAAATAAATGAACAAATAATCAGGGGGGTATTCAGCAATTAAAAAGGCATGAAATGGGCTGTTCCAGTGACACGGAGCAAGACATTGGGCAGAAATTGTTTAAAATAAAATGCAAGACCAGCAAAAACACTTTTAAAGGCTACACTTTGCAAACTTTAACTTGAAATGTAAAACTTTATGTAATGTGAAACCACACCATGCATAGTTTTGGTCCTGTGTAAAACCATAGGCTCATGTTTCCAGCACATCACACACAGATAGATTTGAGACGTTTGAACTGACCGTATGCGTGCGCTCTCTTCATGTGGTGCTTCATGTTGCTCTTCTGAGTGAAGCGGATGCTGCACACCTCACATTTGAAGGGCTTCTTCCCCGTGTGTTTGACCATGTGCACCTGCAGAGCGCTCTTCTGGTTGAACGCCTTGTCACACTGAGGACATTTAAACGGCCGCTCACCTGGAAACCATTGAAGGACAGGTTAATAGTTATTACCAGCCAATGCCCAGTACGAAGAGCAGAATGATAACAGCCAACACTATATGAGGTTAAAATATCTGTTACTTGCAATGTTTTGACTAAATAGAGGTTCGGGAGTTTCTAAAGGCACAAAACTTAAATCAACGCATTTCAACACCTTCAGAAAAATGTCTGATTGAAGAGGACGACGTGGCAGTTTCCTGACAAACTTTGGGATCTTCTCTTCCATCAAAAGCCTGTTTATTCACTCCATTCAGCCGCTTGTTAGTTTGGGCGGAATACATTTGAATGTTTGACGGAAACTATCCCTCAGCTTTTCCATTTGAAACTTCTGAGGAAGACACTTGTCCTTTCAGAGCTAAGTAATCATTTGTTTGTTGACAAGATGTTTAAACAAGAAGGAGTTTCTTCAGAATTATAACTGGTGCAGTCTTACTTGGTGTGTTGAAATGACACAAAAACTAGTTATGCAAACATTTAGACAAGAGACTATCTATTATTGAGCAGCTGAATGAGTAAAGTTGTAAATCTCATCTGTCTTTTATCTATAGGCCGTAACAAGTTTTCAATTAATCACAAATAACTTGGTCATTTAGATTTATATTATTAGTTTATAGACTTAAACATTATGCAGAATGAAGTCATATGAAGATGTTCTCCAGGGGAAACATTTTGGTAAAATGCATAAAAAAATCCTATATTCACTGATCTTTCAGGATCCAAACAAGTTTTTAGTTGTTTGCCTCGTCCTTGAAGAGCGCTTGTTTTTTGAACATTTTATAAACCCACTAAAAGACGTCTGCCCTCTTACGTGTAGATCATACAAACGTTTTCTCATACAGATTATCCACTCACAAGTCAGAATTTAGGTTGCGTGTCAAATTTTACCCCAGAGCAAAAACAACATAGGTTCTTGTAATTCAATTTTCGGGCTTGTAAATAAGTCAGTGTGTCCGAAAAGCACTGCAGGAGAAAAGTTTGAAACTAGAATTGCAAAAAGCCTGAGAGGCAACTGCAAAGCCATTATTGGGTTGGAAAGAAAAAAACCAAAAGTCAGCCTTGTAGCCGTGTACCTGTGTGTGTGCGATTATGCCTCTCCAGTTGACTGCGTTTGGCGAAAGCCTTGGAACAGGAGGAGCAGCTGAAGACACGGGGTTTCTGGGAGCTGGGGGAGGGGCCGGGCTGATGCACCCGCTCATGTTCCTGTCAATGGCAAATACCCAACATGAAGCTGGTTTTGCTCCGTCACACAAATCCCTCTATTATGTAGGGACAGAGAAGACGACTGGAACTCTGTAAAGCCTGCCAACAAAGTCTTCACTTCCCTGTATTGATTTCACGTCCTGAACTGGAGGTGCTGAACCGTCTGGGCTGTTATAATTCAGAATTCTTTTAACTATCATCAAAGAAAAGGTCAGTTCCATGGAGACTATATTTCAGATAATGTCTCAGAAACCAGGCGGGTGTGGAGCAGTGGTATGAATATTGCAAAAAAAATACTTTCAGCTCGTCTGATCTTGGATAAAGGTTAAGCTGAGGTTGAGAATTTGGATGTAGCCGTGGGGAATGTGATAGTGGAGCAAAATACCTCTAGAGCAAACAGTTTTTGTGCCCCTAGGCAACAAAAGTCAAACAACGTATGAATGTGGCAAGTTTCAGATTCGCCACCTTTTCTTGATTAGTGAAAGGTCTGAGCTTTACTTTACTTCTGTTTGCTTTGTTTTCCTGTATCTACTGTTAACTACTTTGACTTTGTATTATTTGGCTGTTGTTATGGTTGATGCTGATTGTGCAGCATCAACCATATATATATATATATCAACCAAGCATATATATTATTTATATAGTGCATTTCTCAGACCAGAGTCACAAAGCGCTTTACAATTGTTTTTTTTTTGGGTATTTGTCTCTCACTCCACACAGAGATGGGAGCGGGGTCGCCAGTACAGGAGACAAATGCCAGACCTATTGTACATGTTTTTAGTGGTAGGGGAAACGGGAGCACCCGGAGGAAACCTACACAGACACGGGGAGAACATGCAAACTCCACTCCACCACTTAGTAATCATAAAGGAACTGTTTTGCTAATGTCAAATTGCAGGCAAATTTAAATCTTTTATAACCTATTAAAACAAATGCGTGTTTAGAAGTTCTTAAGTGTTCATAATGTAATGTGTTTTGTGCAAAATACACAACATGACACACTGAGCTTTAGTTCATTTGCGACTTCAAAGCCATTCAACGGTTGTGGCCAATTATTACACACCACTGAATTGCAAACTAAACGAACAATTGGTTTTTACTTTGATCATTTATTTCGCTTAAGCATTTGCAAGAGGAGCTTCAAGGCAATTAAAACATATCACAGCAGACGAACGCCAATTACCTTTAGCTCATTATGTGCTCAAATACTGCAGAGGCCCCATTTCCTGACCACACAACTGTCACAGAGCGGTGGTGGGACTCCGAAACACTTTGTTTGTGATCGGTGTTGTATAAACTAGATTGAAGATGCTAAATGTATCTGCAGAACAAACCTATTTTAGGATTTACTGCAACAAAACATAAGCCGTGTCAGTCACTTTCAGGGCTGATCATTTGGATTTAAAATACAATCAACTTCTTAGGAATTTGAGAAAAAACAAGACTTATCTCAGTCTATTTGGAAACCGAAATATTAGGATTATCATGTTGAAATAGCCTGGTCGTACCACACCATAGTACAAATTACATTGGTCTGGAGGTGCTCCATTGAGCTCCGTTTACAGGTGGGAGGGGTTAACCCCTTTTGCAGATTGAAACGATTGGATCTGAGTTTACCGTTACGTATGTATTACGCCCGAGTGAGTAGCTAGCATTTAGAATTTAGCCTAGCCATCTCCTTTGCCGCTAACGGAGCCCGTGGGGAGTAGCACCACATTTTTTGCCAGCAATGAAATTTGCTAAACATTCCTATTGTTCCGGCTTCAATTTCTTGATACATTGTAAAAAATAAAAAGTTAGTTCAACTCAAAATTTCAAAGCAACCAGCTGTGAAGAATTTTTGAGTTGAAGGCATTAACTTAATTCTTCACGTTTTGAAGAACTACACTTATTAAGTTGTGTCAGCTAAGTTTTCCGAGTTCAAGTTACTGGAAATTTCAAGTCCGTAAAAACTTACTTTTTTAAGTTCAGATTACTGCCCCCTGCAATAACTTACTATTTTGAGTTTAAATTAGCCCCCACATTAAACCATCATGATGTTTATTCACATTTTACAGACCAAGGTCACTTGGGCAGGGGAAACCAGAGCACCCGGAGGAAACCTATGCAGACACAGAGAACATGCAAATTCCACTCAGAAAAGCCCTGTTCAGACCAGGATTCGAACCCAGGACCTTCGTGTCAAGAAGCGAGAGTGCTATCCACTCAGCCACAGTGCTGCACACACTGTGAACCCGATTAGTGGAAAACTAATGTTTCTAAGACAGACCCAGGGAATATATAGGGCTACTTTGGCTTAGCCCTGTCAATTACGGTTGGTAAAAATAAATACAATGATTTTTTGTTTTTTCAAAAATGTTGAATGCAGCTGGTTGCCATGACAAATATTTAATTGAGCAAACGCAGATAAGTTGACCTCACTCTAGCTCGGTGAACTGTAAAAACGACAACTCAAAATTGTTCACCATACTCAGATTTTTGCATTCACTGACAATAAAATTGCCAGTTGGAGCTTGAACTGTCTGTTGTGAGCAACTTGAACTCACTTTCAGAAGTTCACTACAACTTCAAAGTAAAATCAACTTAATATATCAAATAAGATGAACTTTTCATCAGAAACTTCTGAAAGTGAGTTCAAGTGGCTCACAACAGACAGTTGCAGTTCCAACTGGCAATCTGAGTAAGGTGAACAATTTTGAGTTGTATTTTTTACAGTGGTAGGACCAGAACCGATTACTTTACTATCACATTCTTCGGCATTGCCAAACTACAACCTGCCCGTTCAGTGTAAACTCTTGACATCACCCATTACTAACTACAACACCCGCCTCCCGCGCTAGCTGATTGGTCGGATGGAATTCAACCGATATAATTACAAACACAGGGACCAGACCCAGACGTTACATGCAGGGAAATGATGATTGACCGGAGTGTACGGATGGCTACGGCTAATATTGAAACTACTTAATTCATTTGACAAAATTACAATATAACTTATTTATGTTGCGTTATGTTTTGATACCATGCTTTGAGGATCATAACATATACTATACTTTGCACCACATGTGATGCCGATATCAATCAGAATATTTCTAATAGTGGTAATAATGGACATTGCTAAAGATCTATTTACACTTATAGGTCTTGAATTCAGAATTTTCTATAATAATCACCAGAATTCAAGTAATTTTTCATGTAGAAAACTATGAACTACAGTATCTGACCATTTAACCAATTATCGTAGCTGATACGATACAATACAAATGTGTGTGAAACAAGTAAAATGCAATGAAGCAAAAAGAGAGACAATCTACAGCTACACTGTTCACGGACACAGACACATTTCTGATTGGTGGTTAAGGCTGGATCAATCCAATCACAATGGTTTCAGGAACTTCACAAGGTTCCATCATCAAATGTGATATTCTGAATTGTTAAACCCCCAAAATCTCAGAAGCCCCCCTGAATAAACGGAGCTTACCTTTAGGTGCGTGGCCCGTTTAAAAGCCTTATTGCAGACTGGGCAGACGTGGCAGCGGTCCTTGCCATGAGCCTGTTTACAGTGGCGCCGCAGTAAGTTGGAATTTGTGAATATCTGGTTACAGAAGAAGCACTGGTTTCTGGAGTCTGCTTCTAGAGATACATCCTTCAGCCCTTTATGAGTCTCCTCGGCAATCTAATAAAAGATACATTTCCATATTACACACAATTTCATGGCCTATTAACTCCGCACACAGTTTGGGATGACTACTTGTCTAGGATTTGACTCAATTATAAAGTTTAGGCAGTTTTGACATGTTTACAACCAGAAACAAATATTCTAGATCAAACAAAGACCACAACAAAGTAACAACTGTGAAGTAAATCAGAGTAAATGACAATGCCTTGGATAAAATCCTAACGACTGCAGATTTTCAGACAACAAATCAAACAATTAAACCAAGCACACTTCTGTGTAATCTATTCTAAGTATAATTGTTCGGCTCTGTTTAGAGTGGTAAATTCATACAACACTTCCCATACAAGTCCCAAATTTGAACAGCTGAGCACTGAAAAGGAAAGAGTATGACATTACAGCAAACTTCCCAAGATACAGCAACCCACCTAAACCAACATAACATTGGTCTGCCCAACACACTGAACAAGCAGAGTACTGATCAGAAATGCATGGGCTCCAGAAAAACGCAGGAGGAGCTGTATACTTCTGTAGCGGAGCTGGGGAAATCATTGGGGCAAACATTACGTCAATCTGGCCTTTATGGACAAGTGGTAAATATAAAGAGGGTGTTGAACTTCAAAGTGTAACTTTTTGGCCAAAATGCAAAATGTTATGAATCATCACTCCCAGTATCAATTAGGGGAGTAGCAGCATGCTGTGGGGCTGCATTTCCTCAGCAGGGACAGGGTAGTTTGCATGCTATATGCATGAATCATGCAAACTCTACTTGGAAGGACCTTCTTCTGAATAGGTTAATTGCTGGCATTTAGAATCTTGCCAAGGGACTACAGTTGGAAACTAGATGTATAGTTAATACTGGAACATTGACAGTAGTACTGATTAATGGTGCAAGGTCCCAATTCAAATAAACTAACAGAGAGATTGTTTTAAATTCAGAAATATAAAAAAATGAGTTTCTCCAATGTGGATTAATAAAGAATCTTTATATTAGAATGTAAATCATATTAAACTATGTTAATTGGTTAAATGGTTTATCTCTCTTCTGCCAAAGATCTAAACAGCTTTGTGAGGTTGATCCAATCAAACTCAAACCAACACAAACTGCGGCTGTTATACTGGACCTGCTGTGAGTGTGAGCGCGCAGAGGACCGTGCACTTGGGCTACTAATATCCGCATTCATAAAAGCAACATTCACATCCATACAGACTCTCGCAGTGGAGATTGTGGACTTCACCATAGCTAAAACTTCACACGTCAAGAGCTGCTCAGAGTGCACTGGGCCACAGCCTCTCAAAGCATCAAGGAGCAATAAGCAGCGTGTCACTGCATTGATCTGAGCCGCTGCCACTGCTCCGGGAAAGCAAATGCGCTCGCACACATTTATTGAGTTTCAAAATGTCATCATGTCTGTTTTTAATTGTCAGTCGAAACATTGATTTAGTCATTATTGTGACGGGTCTACTTATAGGAGTCCCTATTTGATGCATTGTGCTTCAAGGGTTGTTATGGCAACCTCTCTTCAATCACCAAACAATCAAACAATAAATCAAGATTTTTATTTAAACTGTTTTAACGCAGAGATAATGGTATTAAAACGTGCAGGTTTGTGCTCAGTATGTTAGTCAAAATCAGTTACTTTTCAAATGTTTAAGGTGGAGAGAATTGTTTTGAATGCAAGTACCAATTAGACCCGCCTTTAAAGGAATAGTTCACCGTTTTTACATACTGACATATGTTCTTACCTTACCTTAGACTAGTTAATACGTACCTGTCTGGTCTTAGTCCGTGCGCTCTGTCATGCAAACGGAGCAAAAACGGGAGCACAAATGCAGCCTCCTCTGTATATTTTGTAGCACCAAAAGGTAGCTCCCGCTAGAAGCTACCAAACTCTTCCAAGTGTTCCCTATTAAATGTATATAGTTACGTGACGTGTTACACTGCAAAGTATAGTAACACAGAAATGTAACAGTCGATTTTCTCAGCGGATAAAACGGGTACTATATTGTGAGGCGTAGTAATCTGAGGTGCGCTACGTCCGCGCACTAACTTCTCTCCGTACTACAAGTCACGCTGCTTCTATTGACGGAAGTGAGCGAGAGAGAAGTCTCCGGAGAGAAGTTAGTGCGCGGACGTAGCGCACCTCAGATTACTACGCCTCACAATATAGTACCCGTTTTATCCGCTGAGAAACTCGACTGTTACAATTCTGTGTTACTATACTTTGCAGTGTAACACGTCACGTAACTATATACATTTAATAGGGAACACTTGGAAGAGTTTGGTAGCTTCTAGCGGGAGCTACCTTTTGGTGCTACAAAATATACAGAGGAGGCTGCATTTGTGCTCCCGTTTTTGCTCCGTTTGCATGACAGAGTGCATGGACTAAGACCAGACAGGTACGTATTAACTAGTCTAAGGTAAGGTAAGAACATATGTCAGTATGTAAAAACGGTGAACTATTCCTTTAAAGCTTCCTGATTTGACAATTACACAATTAATTCAAACTATTTCATATAGACAGCTGAGACCCTTCACCATGAGTCTATTCTCCTCCAGCAAATAGTATTGGTGGTGGTTATACCAAGGAGAGGGACTGCGTTAAATATAATATCTCAGAATATTATCAATAGATAATACAGAGGTTTCAGATGTCACCTTTACTTTACTTCCCTTCTCTTTAAAATCAGATGCTTTAGTTTTAAATAAAACAGCCTGTACTCACCAGAATGACCTGCTGACCAGAGGCGCTGTGTTGTCCCTGTAGCGTGGAATCACTCAGCACAGCAGGGAAATTCTGACCCTGTGAACAGTTTTCAAACAGATTATGATTGTTTTCGATTTTCTACTAAGTTTGTTTGTGTCTTCACGTTGTACCTGCGTATTGAGGTTGAGGGTGACTCCATCCAACATGCCCTGAGCGTCAGTGAGGGTCAAGGTCACACTGCCGTCACTGGCCAATGTGGCGGGGGACATCACCAGAGTCTGAGACTCAGCGCTGTGGGATAGGGCTGAGCTGCCTGGGAGGCTTGTGACTAAGGCAGAAAACAAATAGACACATATACAGATTACTTATTTATTTTAATTTGAGTTAAATGGAAATGTTAGAACTCCACTTTGACAGTAAAAAAAAACTTGGGGAATGCATAATGTAGCTTCTACAGTGGAAATAGAAAGATATTCTCAGATTGATGGTGATTACAATGTTTATGAAATATTTAACTCAAGTGGCACATATAGTCACATGACAAGGTTAGGGTGACTGAGCTCAAGATGAATGAGCTAGGATAAATATAAACACTTGCCAGCAATAACTAATCAGAAGTATGACTGTAATGAACAATTATTTGGATAATATATTTGTTAGTTAGATCCCCAAAAGTCAATAAGTATGGATTTTTTGTATACATTTGTCTAACACAGAGCAAAGGTCGCCCCTGGAGTACATCTTCACAGAGATGATTTGTTACATGGCAGTCATTTGAAAATTGAGTAATAAAACCGCTTCTCAGTATTTTTTTATATGTAAGGTAAAAAAAAAAAAAGAATTACAACACCGGTTACAAATTATCAAAAATGGGATCCACTTCAGACCTCTGCCCACACTGCACACAGGGTTATAGGGACAATTACATTCACGCTCTTTGGCACTGCACTCCGGTCCAAGCTTCTGGAAAGCCGTCACTCAATTACTCACCACTTCACTTGGCTGCAACATCCCAATGTCCCCATCCCTCTGTCTTCTAGGAGACATATCCACACTCCCCATCAATCAGGGTAAATCAAAGTATCTTTCAATGTCGCTAGCTATCGCCAAACTGGAAATCCAAAACCAACATACACACCTCCACATGGGAAAACTTAATGTCAGATTATATTTCACTTCAAGACATACCCCCCAACCATACCTCAAACAATACACCCCTTGCATCCCAGACCCCACTCATAAGCTAACCTTATATACTTTACCTATTACCACTATTTATGTCATCTTGTATTTTGCACACCCTGCTGCTACACCACTGTACCCCTGTTTTATGTCATATATATATATAGATATACATACATTCTATGGTGATATGTTGATGAGGAGGGAATAAGAATAAATTAACAAAGGAATGAATAATTAATAAAAATATATAAATAAATAACAAATAACAAAATAATAAATAAATAACAAAAAATAAGTCCTCTTCCCACATGCATCTAAAGCATACGCTTTTAATGCACAACATCCCAAACCTGTTTTTAATGCACCACAGTCACACATTATGCAGGGATGCTGCTGGAAGAGCAATACTAATCATCTACCACCTCGCTCCCATCTCTGTGTGAATGAGAAGACTAATGCTCAAAATGGATTGATTGGATACAGATTACTTACGTTCTTACCAAAAACACTAATATGCCTAGTTATGGCTCTGCTACCCTCTTCACCAACATTACGACCACCCCCCCCTCCCTTGGATTATAGCACCTCAACTCCTCCTATGTTTTTACTATTATTATTATTATTATTATTAGTAGTAGTCTCTCTCTTTTCTTTCTCCCCTCTCTCACTACCGGTCAATAAAAGAAAATCTACAAATGGGTCTATAATGTCTGTGCTGTAATATATTGTATAAGCCAATAAAAAAAAAATATATATATATATATATACGAATTTTCAGCTATTTAGACAATAGATAAGTTGCAATGAAATCACTTGTTAGAGCCCCATTTAGAAGTAAACATTTGACTCCCTGGTAATGCTAGCTACATAGCATCTTCTTTCAATAGTGTCGCTGCTCTTTATCAGGTTCTTTATTTGCGTACAAACTGAAAGAAGACTAAATCAACAAAAGTTGTGATAGCTCTGGCGTCAGTGGGGATGCTTTTCCACTTGAGTCGAAATGGAGGGTAATTGAGAGAAGGAGATGGGCCGAGAAATCTGATCAAGCCTCTTACTGACAAGTCAACAATCAGGAAACCATCTCAGATAAAACCAATCCCTTTGCTCACTTCACAGGAGGCAACATTACTGCAACACAGACAATGCCTGGACTGGAGTCAGGCGTTCAGAAATGAAGAAGAAAAAATACAAAAGCGTGTTCCCCTTTCAATGTGTAATAATGCCTCTTGATACTGGCGTTTTTCATAAATACTCAAAAAAGTAATCTTGGATGATATAGGGCATTTCACAACCAAGTTCACATTAAGTGCTTTCCAATTTGGGCTAATTGCCATTCACCCCACACTCATGACATAAGTGAGACGACAAACAGCTGCCGCAGCAGACCCTTCAACCATCCTATTGTACATGTTTCAGAAAACCTGGAGGAAACTTACGCCGATGCAGGGCGAACAGGCTAACTCCACACAGAAAGCGAGTTTAGGACCTTCCTGCTGTGAAGCACAAGTGCTAACCTCTGTGCCACATGCATGTGTTGGCCTGAGCTTTCAGTCTGAAACAAGGCTTTTTTAGGTCACTCGCTGCCATGTGTTATTTCAGATTTCCAATCAGGAACATCATTACAGCGCAGCAGACCCCATGTCATGCTCAGGAGGAAGAAGTAGAAGGAAATCTAGTGGCTTCGGCTCATACTCAAAAACTCGTGCTGTGACATCAATCACCCAAGCATTTTTATAACAGACCGTAGCAAATGAATTTCCGACCATGTTTCCAAACGTTCACTTTAAGAATTTTCACAAATACTGTGTGCAAGATTATTACACATTTAAATCAGTGCAAAAGCAGATGGATTTTCACAGACGTCCAAAGTTATTTCTGCTTCTCACCGCCAGTCAGACATCATGCCTGAGCAAGCACCAAAGGGTGCCATTTCCATTTATGGAGACACTGTCAAAGCCTCTCCATCAGCATTCGTCTGCCATATATTAGTCAAAATATATTCTAGTATCATCCCCAAAATGAATTATATTTATGATGTTGCCAATTACTTTCAAATTGTACTGAGATGTGCTCAGTACAGCTTGTTGAATTTAGGAATTTAACAGGGTATTTAGCACACCATCAAATGGGACTGTATAAAGAGGATAATTGTTGGAGGTGTGGTGAACCAGGGGGAATATTTCTCTAATCTGCAAAAGCTTGTGTTCATGGTATTTGGGGCTGGTATCTACCAAATGTGTTTTATTAGAAAAAAATTGCCAAAAAAATGACAAATTCAGAAATGTTGAAATCATGACAACGTCATTATACTATAATACTTAATTAACATACATTTGACTTACCTTATTACATAAAAAATATGTAGTAATATTTAAATATGTTTCTGTCATTAGACTGTGAACTCCCCACACATAACACTGAGAAATGGGGCAGTAGGGAACAGTGCATGGCAGTACAGCAAATTCTGAAGCCAGGAGAATTGCGAAACGTTTCTTACTTTTTACTTTTGCACCATAAAGTCAATACAAATAATTCTGATTCTGAAACGTGTGCTACTGCTGGTGACTTGGCTTCGACACACTACTAAATATGAATACAACACAAACATCACTGTTTACATTCATCACTGTCTGCATTAATCACTGCCTCCTTCCTGCTTGATAAACAGTCAATTAATGTTCCAGCACTTGTTACCTTCCAGTCCGCTGTTGGCTGGACTCTGGGGTAGGAGGTGGTCATTAGACATGGTAAGCGTAGCGTTGGTGGACTGACTGTTGAGAGGTGAGGCCAGTCTGATGCTGCCGTTAATCTCTGCACCTCCGGAGTTATTATGCTGTGGCAACAAATCTTGACCTGCAAAAGAGAAGGGAAATTAACACATTTGTGAAATGCACAGAAGCCTGTGTGGGTTTGAGCTGTCAGAACGCCAGCGTGAAATAAAAGATGTAATTAAACTTTGCCCCCTAGACTTTTACTATTTATGTGAACATTTAAATTGCAAAAGCAGATAAGTGCTGGTAGTAAAAATAAAGGTCAAAAGTTAAGAATTTATGCAGCCCATTTGTTTCAGTACAAAATAGAGTACAATAAAAACATTCACCTGAACTCTGCAAACACCAACAACATAATAAACCAAACCAAGAATGTAGACTGACACCACATCCAGCTGTGGTGAACCTTTGGAACATTTCCCACCGTTTTCCAATACCACAATATGTTTGAGAGAAGAAAAACTTTAATATAAATATGTTTAAAAATAATAATAAGCTTAACCCAGTTGCACATGTCCCTTCGCAGTTTCCTGAACGCATCCTGTCGAATAATAACTCACTAGCTGTTAGATGTGTAGATACATGCCTGATATTGTGAGAGTGATTTCTTGAGTGCCTCCAGCTGCAGAGACAGAGCCCACGGCAGAAGCCTGAGCCTGGACTTGGGCGAGGGCCTGTGATAGACTGGAGTTATTGAAGGTGAAGGTGATTTCTTGACCGCTGTTGCCTCCGGATACAAGTCCAGAGCTGGCCATCACATGACTGAGATCCTGAGACACTGAAAGAACACATCGACCCCTTAAAATATCTCATACATAAACTCAAAAATGACAATAAAGGCGCTCTTATAAATTGGCAACTTGAGAAACGTAAAAAGTTTGGCACAAAGTTTTTTATTTTACATTGTGATTCAACCTGAATTTTATTTTCTAATATTCTTAATTGTCACGTTTTAAACACAGCAGCTAAACTATCAAAAGATCATTTCAAAGGACGGTCATTACCTCACTAACTCATGTGTCCTCATCTTTCACTGTGTTTGGCTTAAAAAGTATGTACAGGTAACCTTTTTTTTCAGAAATGTTATCAGACAAAACCAAAGAGTGGAGTCTTTTGTCTATTTATAAGAGATAGATGAAAAGTAGAATCAAAATATACAAGAAAGAAATATTTGAAAAGTGTAGGGAAATGTTTGTTTCAGGAGCTTTGGTTTTGCTCCTAAGGAAATTATCACACCAGGTACTTCGTTTAGATTTTCCTGAAAGCACCAAGAGAAATATTTAGTTTTCCCAAGTTGCGAAGCCCCAGTCCTACTTGAACTTCAATGAGAAATTAGCACTATATCATAAAAACAGCACAAATGGCTATTGGAATTTCTGCACCTACCTGCAGTGTCGTGGTGGGAGAGGCTGGCCATCGAGACCTGTGCTGGGGTGATGGTGGGGTTCTGTAGAGGCAAGTTGGAGAGCGGGTGGAGCACCACACTGGCCGCCGCTGTGGGGTCAGAGCTGGCCAGCAGCTGGTGTCCAGAGTCTATACTGAGGGGCTGCGACAGGAGACCACCCTGCTGTAAGGTCTGCTGCAGGAGGCTTGGGTCGATCTGGGATGAACGCAGATCAACAGATGATGAAGACAGCGAAGGTTATAACGAACCAGCTTTGTAAATGAAACACAAATACAACAACAATGTGCACATTCGAAGTCTGAAAAAACAAAGCAAAAAAGTTTTGGAATAAGCACTAAACTATCAACAAATGCTGGAATATTTTTGACTACTATTTTATTTGGATGAGTGCCTTTTCGTTTCATTTTATTCAGTTGCTCGCTCAGAGATGTATGAATAAAATTGAGAGTTTTGTGCCTCCTGCATGTGAAAGCCTGATCCTGTCAGACTTTAGAAGCAATGGTCAAGCCATTTGCAACAGTAGAGGCGACTGCAGCAAGTGCCAAACACACACATTATTCAGTCTTCCCCAGGGCAGCTGTGGCTACATTAGTAGCCATGTAGGGAGGGATTGCATGTGAAGCATTTTTAAGTGTACAAACATTTTTGTACAAAACACTGACAATTATTATGTTCAGACACTACTGGAATTGAATTATTAGATTCAAAACCAACAGTAAAACAAAAATGGTTTGTTGACTGTTTAGTTGAGAAAGTGTGTAACCTGGAGCGTGATGTTGTTGATGTTGCTGGCGTCAAGGCCAGAGATCTGGACGTTGGGGCACACCAGGTTTGCTGGGGTCAGCTGCAGCTGGATTCCCTCCAGTGTTGCCAGGCCATCAGACAGAGAGACAGTGAGGTCTCCTGCTGCTGAAAATCAATACAGTCCACCCATCAATGTTGAGTCACACTCAATGAGATGAAACACATTTTGACGTGTAACTTTGGTAAATGAGTATAATTCACATAAACTATTATAATTATGTCTAATTATAGACATTGTGACCGAACAACATTTGAATTCTTTCATTGGACATTAAATGATTGTATTTTGTGTCTAGCATCAAGTTAAGCTTGGAAGATAAAGCATTCACAGTATATAATACTCACATATAAACTGTAATAGCACATGCCACACTAATTGATGTGTTTGGACAAAATTGTGGAGTTCTTGTTGTTAATAAAATTCTCAAATTACTTTTGAAAAGAGAAATATGCCTTTGGGGTATCGCTGTTGGGCTGCAATGAAATTCAGTTTCCAGAGAGGTAGAAGCCATTTCAATTTGGAGAGACGTGAAACAAGAAGCTTTTGAGTATTTTATTTAGGAGGAGGTTTTGGCGCCCTAGGCCCCGGTGCGGCCTTCAGAGCGGAGGGCCTCCATGCGAAGGAGCGTGCCAATCCCCCGGGACCTAGGCACTGGTGGCGGCATTTGGCAGCGGGAAGCAGATTGAAGGCGGATTGAAGGCAGGGTGAAGAGGAGGAGGAGGGGAGGCGGTGGTTGCAGGCTTCGAGAAGGCAGAGAGTGGGAGTTTCTCCGCTTTTAAGCGGCTTGCCTGGCCGGTGCGGTGATTGGAAGGGGCGTTTGCAGCGCGATAGGCTGGGGATGAGAACCGGCCTGGAGGGGTTACCTTTGGCTGACGTCTACCAAATTGAACTTTCGCTGGCTGCATTTCAATTTGGAGAGACGTGAAACAAGAAGCTTTTGAGTATTTTATTTTAGGAGGAGGTTTTGGCGCCCTAGGCCCCGGTGCGGCCTTCAGAGCGGAGGGCCTCCATGCGAAGGAGCGTGCCAATCCCCAAAAGGCTGTGTTGATGGAGTTTTTGCAGCCTGGTTTGGAGGGGACAGAACGACGAGACTACTCTATGCTGTGACCGCTATCGCTATATACTGTGACCGCTATCGCTATATACTGTGACCGCTATCGCTATATACTGTGACCGCTATCGCTATATACTGTGACCGCTATCGCTATATACTGTGACCGCTATCGCTATATGCTGACGACCATCATGCGCTAACCATTTTTTGCTATATACTGTGACCGCTATCGCTATATACTGTGACCGCTATCGCTATATACTGTGACCGCTATCGCTATATACTGTGACCGCTATCGCTATATACTGTGACCGCTATCGCTATATACTGTGACCGCTATCACTATATACTGTGACCGCTATCACTATATACTGTGACCGCTATTTGCTGTGACCAAACTTGCGGATACTCAGCTGCAGCCGCCACCAGGAGTTTAGCGAGTGTTTTATGGAGATGCCAAAAGCCGCTGGGCTGCCAGGATGGTCGAGGTGTCAGGCCTGATGTATGAGGAGAGGGCCGATGATGACCAGCGGCCCAGCTGCTGGAGGGCGGAATGGGGGAGCCCCAGTGACGCGGCGCGCGTGGCGGCGCCTATCCGAAAGGAGTGGGCTGTGTAGAGATGGGGAGACAGATTACAAAGCAGCAGTACGTACTTGAGTTGGGCTCTGAACCAGTTGGGGGACATAGGGAGGTTATCAGGGGTAAGAAATGACGGTCCGTTGAGATCTCCTTTCCGAGAGCGGAGGCGAGTGTAATGCATCATGGATCGTGACAGCAGAGGGTGGAATGAGTGGAATGCAGTGGGCGTGACAGAAGCTGGAGTAGACTTTCCACGCGAAACTGTATGATTTCAGTGTGGAAGGTGAGAGACCCATCTTCATGTAGGATGCAGCGGAGGAGATGAGGAGGTGAAGAGACGGAGGGACTAGTCCAGGGCGAGGGATTCCATGCAGGGGATCTGGCATGGTGATGGGTTGGCAGAAGGGCAGAGGCGTCGGAACTCCTGGAAGTCGAGATTATCACGCATGACGGAGATCCTCTTTCTCTGCCAGGTGTGATTCCGCCGCGCGCAGGCCACGACCACTGGGAATATCTCGTGTAGGGCAGAGGAGATGCTCCGGTGGAAAGTAGCGGCCATGGCCCGGCAACCCAATGGTCCTGGAAAAAAACCCCAAAACCCACGGAAGGGGCACGTCCGTGTAGAAGCGGAGACCTGTAGGGGCAGAGACATGTCGGAGAGGGCCATTGAAGTTGCAGGCGCCCTTACGCTTAGAATCTTGGGTTGGAGAGTAGATAATCAGGATAGTAGGATGGTCGGGAAAAGCCGTGTCTAGGACCGCCTGAAGGGTGAGTGAGCAGTAGTGAAACGCTTATGCAGAGAAGCCATAGAAGGCGAGCAGGAAGATGCTGCGAGGAGGGCAGACGTGTACTTGGAAGAAGAGCCGGAGTTCAGTGCCGCTCAGAGCCGCTGCAGGATGGGCAGCATGATGGGGAGCCTGCGATCAGAAGAGTGAAGAATACAGGTGTGGATGCCTTTGATTAGGAGTCCGATTGACGGCTCAGCGCAGCTACTCGGCCGGCTGCATCTGATAGAATCAGAAGATTAAGTAGAGAGATGAAGCATGACCGCCGAAGCGACCCTGGGAGCATAGGTGCGAGTCCAGCGCAGCGCGGCATGCTCGGCCGGGCTGCATCCATTAGAAGCAGGATAAGCTTCTGAGAGAGTGGGTTGCAGCAGTAGCAGTAGCAGTAGCAGCAGCGGCAGCAGCAGTAACCTCGGATAATAACGCAACAATCCTGTATCAAGCCGCGGCAGCAGCAGCATCCGTAGATAACAACGGCAAAAATCCTGTATCGAAGCCACAGCGGTAGGATATGTTGTAGCTGTTTAGTGTTTCAGAAAGAGAAGCGAAGTGAGGAGAGATGACAAAGTACATGAAGCAGCAGCAGCACGGCAGCAGTAGCAGTATGAAGCAGCAGCGGCAGCAGTAGCAGCAGTAGCGGTAGCAGTACAAGAAGCAGCATTAGCGGGAGCAGCAGCACCACGATGCGATTCATACGAACAAACAGACGTGTCACGCCAGCGTGCGCCGCTTGACTCCGTGAGCCAGGTTACGTACGCGTCTGAAGGAGCCGAGCCGTAGAGACAGGTGCAGCCTGGGAGCCTGCGGAGCGGCAGCGGCTGCTTTGGTTATGGCAGATACGCATGAACGATCACTGATCCATGCGTTCATAGCTCCAACACCACTTCACACCCATTGCAGATTCACCTTGGGCCCTTTTTCATTCTGCTGCACTTTCAAAATGCAACAACTGCAGTTAGTTACCTAATTTAATACCAGCGAGCAAGCTATTTAAATGCATGGTTTTACTGCAAGTGGCAGAACATGAATCTGAATTAATGCACTTTGCTCCTCTTATATCCCTCAGACGATAGAGATTGATGCCATTTAATATGCATTGCCCCTCGGTTAGCAGGGGCCCCGCGGAGCAGCCCGCAGAAAGAGCCCGCAGAGGAGGAGAGCAGGAGATATGCGAACCACAGCAGGTGCAGGGACGCAGAGGAGGAGCAGACCAGTGCAGGGACCAGACCACAAGCAGCCAGACGGAGGACGCCAGGGTCGCGCCGAGTAGCGTGAGTAGACGAAAACGATTCCTCCAGACGATTCTCTGCAAGGCTTCGAGGGCTTGCGAGGCTTCGAGAAGTGCAGGCTTCGAGAAGGCAGAGAGTGGGAGTTTCTCCGCTTTTAAGCGGCTTGCCTGGCCGGTGCGGTGATTGGAAGGGGCGTTTGCAGCGCGATAGGCTGGGGATGAGAACCGGCCTGGAGGGGTTACCTTTGGCTGACGTCTACCAAATTGAACTTTCGCTGGCTGCATTTGCCGGCCTTTTTGATGGAAATGGAGATTATGACGCTCAGAGCTCTTTAGTAGCTGTGTTTGTTAATCCTAAAGCATCATTAAGTTATATATTGAAGGTCACAGAATGTTCCCTTTGCCTTGTTGTGATGGTTGTGCAGTGACTCATTGGTTGATGGTTTGTTGCATTTTTGTCCAAAGGCAATGCATTTAATGTGATATGTTCTTTGTGCTTACTTTGAAAAACAGTAACAGCATTATATTTTACACAAAATATCCTTGCGGTAAAATACAGCGGCTATATTTTTGTATAGAGATCTGGATCTGAACCTGTATAGAGTTGTCTAGGGTCGTGTTACTTGGTAAATAATTTAAGCACTTGCAATACATGCTCATCCTCATGACTTACCGGACATTGAGGCTGGGAGGATGGCTTGGCCGACCAGCCCGGGCTGCAGTAGGTTCTGGTCTAGTCCTGTGAGGTTGGTCTGCAGGTAAATGTTTGCATCGTTGTTTGCAGTTTGGAGCAAGCCCACGGACTGCAGATCTGTAGCTCCTGTTGTTTGACCCTCCACAGAAACCTGGGTGTGTGAGTTGTTGGACTGAGTGTGTGCTGAGGCCGAGCGCTTGTTCTTGCGCTCACTGTTTGGTCTGAAATGACACTGGATGTGGGTCTTGCGATGGCCTGAAGTTCTAAATCGCAGTTCACAGAATGGACACTTGAAAGGTTTGGAGCCGGTGTGGAGGCGCATGTGGACCTTCAGACTGCCCTTTGTGGAGAAGGAGGTGTTGCACATGTGACAGCTAAACAGCTTTTGGCCTGTAATCACAAACAAGCATTCTAATGTTTTCTTGTACCACAATGAAAGAAGAATGAATGTGGATTACACAAACCTGTATGAGTCTTAACGTGACTGTCCAAAGTAGATTTGACAGTAAAGCTCTTTCCGCATTCTTCACACTTGTACGGCCGTTCACCAGTATGTATTCGGATGTGTCTAGAAATGAATAAAAGTGAAAAAAATGAGAAAAAGACCAGCCAAGAGAGTCAACTCATAACTGTCTTTATTGGGCCCGGTGGCTTTTTATTGATTGGGTAAACACAATTAGAGACAGAGATATGTAGATTTCAAAGAGGGTTTAGACTGTTAAAAAATACAGCAAATACCTCTAGATTTTGTTCAAAATTACCCTGTATAACCAACAAAAAAATTGTTGTGTAGTACAAGTAAATTAATGATTAAAAGAATATTTAATTAGAATGGATGGATATCACACAGTAGAGATGCCAACCGAGGCGTTAATCCACAATGTTTTTTAGAGAACAATATTGTGCACCTCCTAAAGACTTATTCAGTTGAAATGAATGCATGCATAATTAAAGAAGTCATCTATAAAAGCAGTGCTTGTGTTTACATAGGCAGCTTTATAATGATGGAGTGAAATAATAAAGTGAGGAGACTCTGCTCTTATAGCCTGTGTATGCAGAGATGGGACACCATTTTTGCCCTCACTGAAAAGCATATGGACTTTATGTTCTACTGAACATAAAGACAGGAAAGTCAATGTCAATCAACTGTAAAAACATATTTTTTATCTATTGTCTGTAATGGACTAATTTCCGGCCAATTACCTGATAAGATCGCTGGGTTTCTTGAAGCTTTTAGGACAGTAATTACAGCAGTTTGCAAACTTGGGCTCAGTCTCCAGCTCAACGACCTTGTCTTTGATTTCACTGATGCGGTCTCGCTCTGCTGCAGACTGAGCCAGGATGCGCTCAGAAACAGAGGCATCCTCCCCCGGGTCTTTAGCCAGTTCTGCTGTCTGCTCCACGGTGAAAGTGATGATCTCCATACTCCTCCGCTTTGAGGCCTTTGCATCCGCATCTTCGTCATCATCGTCGTCATCATCTTCCTCTTCCTCGGGGTGGCTTTCAAGGCCTACAAGCAATATCAAATATATCTACTTTATCTATGCCAGTAGTCTCCAACTCAATTTGGCTGGGAGCTGTATAAGGATGAGTTTGGTGGGGCTGGGTTGTATTAAGGGGTACATTTATTATTGGTTGAGAGTGTAAATTCAATATATATATAATATGTATACGTATATGTTATATATATATATATATATATATATATATATGGGTCTAAATTGAACACTTTCAACATCTCCTAGGTTATGGATACATTTGACACATAACCCCACTTGGCCTGAAGCCCCTGCTGAAAGATCAAGACTATGCTGTTACCGACAGAGCAGCCGTCCTCCTGTGGACTCATCACCTGCTGGAGGATCAGTGAAGGGCTGGTGTTCAGTGAATTGGGTGCTGCTCTGACTGCCACCCCCCAGACCCATAAATGGATTAAGGGGAAGAAGATGGATGGATCATATTTGTGAATAAAACTGACACTTTTTTGAATAATCAACTATTCTTTTAGTAAATCTTACCGCTTCAAAAATGTTTATTGTTAACTGATAGGATCCCACTAGTGTGTTCATGTTGTCGCTACTTGTTCTGTATTATGTCCTTTTAGACTCAAAGTGCGGAAGCTTCATAAAAATGTTGTTATAATTCTGTCTTGATTAAAAAGGTAATGCAATTTTTTAGGAGAAAATAAGTTTATATTTGTTTAAACTTCATATATATTAAACCTTGCTTTGACCCAGTGGCTGTACGCAGTATGGTGCCCTAACTTTTGATTAGGTCTTTGTCTACACTGCTCCAGAATCAATGTTTCTAGGTTTTCTGGTGTGAGGGTCCGTCCACACAATTGATCCTTTAGCATCCTAGAGATCACTGCGGTGGATAGCAATAGATAGATAGATAGATACTTTATTGCACCTCCATAAGAGAAATTCAGGTGTCCAACAGCAGAAAACTCATGCAGGTTTCTGTACAGTTTGACAGCCGACTGAACAAAAGATCTCATAAAATGTTCCGTTGGTGTATCACTGTGCTGCCGATTACTCCTCTGAGTGGCCATAGTGTCATGCAGAGGGTGTCTGAGTTAGCCAGGATGCCCTACATTAGAGCCCTCATCCTTCTCTCACACACTTAACTATAATGGCACCATACTGACCACTCATACAGGCACTAGGTCACTAAATGGACATACACAAATATAAACTTTATTTCCATCCATCTATCCATTTTCCTGCCCCTAATCCAACTGGGTCAGGGGGGTGGCAATTAGAGCTGCCACGCAATTCACAAAGAACTGCCCCCTCACTGATCCTCCTGCAGGTGGTGAGTCCACAGGAGGACGGCTGCTCTGTCAGAGCACACAACGGCAACAGACATCAGTGGGAGTAGGTGGAAAAGGTCTCATGGGGAGATTGAATCATTGACCTTCAGGCTCGAAGGCCAACTGCTCTAGCAACTGAATCACTGTCGCTTTATGTTTCACATAAAAAGTTACATAATCTATTCTCTTACATTATGCTCTGGAGATGTGTACAACTTAAAATAGATGGAAAAGTGAAACCAGGGCAAAAAGTCCATGTAAAGCCAAGTACTTTTGTCTGAAGTAAACTTCAGTATTCACTAAAGATGCAGACACATTTTGTTATTCAGCTTTAACAGTAGTGAACAGTGTTTTTAATTAATTCTCAATTCTTCACTTTATCTGCGCCACTGCAGATCATATTCAAGAAAAACACAACAAAACAAATACCTGTTTCATCGATGGAGTGCTCTTTCTTCAAGTGCTTCTTACACAGCAGACTGGTCCTAAAGCTGTCTCCGCATATGCTGCACTTGTACGACTTGATGTGTGTGACCATGTGCCGGCTCAGGCTGCCGTTGGTGGTGAACGTGGCATCACAAACATTACATTTGAAAGGCTTCACACCTGGGAAATATTTACACGTTACAAAAACTGTTAACCACAAAAAGGTTTCCACAAACTTATCAAACATACAGTATCATCATCAATTGATTTGTATGTTCACAATTAAACAGATTATCTCTGCTGTGTTGTTGAAAAATTGGACATACAAAAACAAATTGAATCGAATTGAAAAGTATTAAATATAATATACTAGTATTAAATATAATAAGTGTAAATAGTAGAGTACAAAATTGGTATTGGGTCTATGTGCTAAGAATGAGTTGAGAACTTTTGCATCGTGACAGCACACACGTGTCTCACCTGTGTGTGTGTTAAGATGTGCCTTGAGAACCCCGGACGACACAAACGATCGGCCACAGAGGGGACACCTGAAGGGCTTCTCCCCGGTGTGTGAGCGCACGTGCTGCTTCAGATGGCTGGACTTTTTGAATCCCTTTTTACACCAACTGCACCTGAAAAAGAAAAAAAACAACACGTTATTGTTCGCAATTTTACAGATGGCATTTATTGTATTTGTAAATTAATTATTCAAAAGTAATGTTAATGCTGAAGTCTTGATAGCTTTGGAAGATTCATCTTATCTTTAATATCGAATCAAGACTTTAAGGAATACTAAAATCTGAAAATGTTTTGCCCCAGAGATGACTTTACTTGACTCTTTTATACCACAACACAAGATCATATTATATATATTATATATTATATATTACTGTGGCAGTTTAACTGCTAATTTAAACTTGTTTTGCTTGTTTGTTGTTTTGGTTAAATAGGATGCACTGCAATAATGTGAGGGATTCTATTGTGAAGTAAATTATACTTTGGTCAAAATTGCACTTGGTTTATAAGGTCACACTTCTCAACTCAAAAGGTCAGGTGTGAATAAATGATTTTTAATAGAAGTTCAATTACCTCCAAAACAGAGGACTGCCTGCTGTGAAAAATGACTTTAGGAACTACACTCTCAGGTTAGAAAACTCAGTTTAAGCTGGGGTATCTAACTTTTAAATGTACATAAAAAACTCCAAATAGTTCCTCTCACAACAGTAGGCCACATTCATGTTTTTTTACTATCTGTCAAGTGGAAAATAATCTCTTTCTCACAAGTATTAAAAAGATGTTTTCTATAAAGATGAATTTATTGTGATCTGATATATATTCACAAAATTGTATTTTTCCAAGACTTTTTCAAGATAACAACATGTAGTATACATGAAAATTAAAAGTGAGGTACCCCCGCCATAAGATTCACCATGTGCAGATAGACCCATGATTAATTAGGGGATTTTGGATCATAATCTCAATTGCCATCGTTTTGACTGAATATACCAAGATTTAAACTAGCAATATGTATTGATAACACTAACTAATTCAATGATGGATTTTATTAATTCAAGCAGAAATTTTACATTAATAATATTTACAATATTTACATTTCTTAGTTTATGGAACATTTAGATTTAGTTTGTGGGCGATTGCTACATCCAAATCAAACGGTGTGGGTATTACAAAAGCTCCTGTGTGTGAGCCCCTTTATAAGGCCATAAGTATTGAAACTATAAATAATTGTCCAGTTATATTGTAATACCCGTCATCATGAGCAGAGTGTCACTGATAATAATTCACTAGTCACTTAGTCACTAGTCACTTTATCTGTTATTATTAATATGACTGCATTACTACATATCCATTCATCAGATATATTACTAGTAACTTTACCTGTTGATATTGTTGCTATTGTTTATTCTGGTCATACTAGCCGCTGCTAAAGTACAAGATACACATCTGTATTTACCTGCAGAGTTTTATTTTATTTTATTGTATTTTAGTAAAGTCGGTAAAGTTTATTTATAAAGCGCTTTTCACAGATAAAAATCACAAAGTGCTGTACAGGACAGTGGACAAAGACGAAACAATATAAAATACATTTACACACACGTACGTAAAAGTGACGTCAGTGAGAACCCATTCAACTAAAAGCTTTCTTAAATAAATAAGTCTTCAAGCCTTTTTTAAAAGAGTCCACAGAGTCGGCCAGACGTAGGGACAGGGGCAGGGCGTTCCACAGTCTGGGGGCAACAGACTGAAAAGACATGTCCCCTCGAGTCTTATAATGGGTTTTGGGGACCACAAGCAGGTTCTGGCCAGAGGACCGGAGAGTGCGGCCAGAGGAGCACAGGCTCAAAAGGTTCAGGATGTACTGGGGGGCCTGACCATTTAAGGCTCTGAAGGTCAGCACTAAAATCTTAAAATTAATCCTGAATTTTACTGGGAGCCAATGAAGAACAGACAGAACAGGAGTGATATGGGACCTTCGAGGGGCACCTGTTAAAAGTCTAGCAGCAGAATTTTGAACAATTTGAAGTTGGTTGAGTGCAGACTTATTGAAGCAGGTAAAAACAGAGTTGCAATAGTCAAGTCTTGTTGAAATAAAAGCATGAATGATCATTTTCAGGTCCTTCTTTGATAAAATAATGCGGATTTTTGCAATGTTCCTAAGGTGATAAAAGCAGTATCTCCAGAGACATGGCCTGGTCAAACACAATCCCTAGGTTTCTGAGGCTGAGATTTTACCATCTTATTACTTACTTATTATTTTATTTTGACTATCTTAAATAATAGACCCTGTCTGAGCTTATTTCCTTGCTGTAATTTGTGCAACGATGACACTGAAATATCCCCACTGTGGGATAAATTAAGGAATGCCTTATCTTATCTTAAAGGACAGTCTAGAGACCATTAAAATATTGTGCTACTTATATTAGGAATTTGTTACTGTCAACTCTCAATATGAAATGTAACGCAATACATAAGCAATAGGACGAGCGTTGTGTCGGTGTTCCAAAAATATTTATAGATGCTGAAAAAAATGTCGTCCGAGGTTTTAGTTACAAGCAGGTGACACTGCCACGCCAAGTTACATATTATGTCAGTTATTATGGCAGCCCCCAGTTATGCTGTGTCCAAAATATTATGTAAGCAATAAACACCTGCTAGAATATAAGTATTATAAAGAAGATCATTTTAGTTGACGCAAAAACTCACTGGTATGTTTTCTATCACCATTGACGACCGTTGTTTCAAAATGCTTGGCTAGTATTGCGCCACAGTTTCAGAGATACAGTATTTAATAACATCCTTCCTTTGGAGACAAAGTTATTGCTTGGGTGCAAGTGTACTGCAGAGAACACAACATTAATAATTCAGCCCTCACAAGAATCACAGGGAAAATGTTATATTGCTTATTATTATTTCAAATCAGAATGCAAACAGCCTGGTACAGAAAACTCAGAAATGTCGGCTCAACAGATTCTTTTTTTGGCCTTTTAACTCATTGTCTTCCCTTGACGTCCAAAGACAAATAGTAAGGTTGTGTGCCAATGACGTCTTAAAATGTCAAATAAATTTTTCACTATTTTCATGCTCCCAGATGTCTATTAAATCTAATATGTATGGGGGATTAGCTTTAGAGCATATTTTATGGAGTCAGCAGGTGGCACCAGCGCTGCCTCTGAATGTTTTAAAAACAGCATGCACTTTGCGCCTCTTTTTCTCAGCTTTTAGTCTGAAACTGGTGATTTCAGTAAAACTTCACTCTACTCGATTGGAGATTGCAGGGAAACAAAAACAAAATTGAAACAAAATTCTTTTTTCTGATTAAAGTTGACAGTCCATTCTTTCAGAATCTGGTTTCGGATTTCAGATAGTTATAGTAAACAATTTTCTGTGGGTCTTGAAAAATCAATTAAAATCATCCGAAACTGCTGGCAATATGACTGTACCTGTTCTGAAATGGGCTGACAGGCAATGATATGTTCTTATCTTACGCTATTTAAATGCCACACTATTGCAGAAATGATAGTGGTTTGAATCTGTGCACACTATTTAAGTAAAATGGAAGAAAAACCCAGATTGTTTTTAATATATGTCAAAAGTGCAAATGTGCTTCATTGGGTAATACTCAGTTTAGTTGTCATAGATACGACTGTGTTCTCTAAGCTACATTATGATATTCACTATCTTCACCCTTCTCGAATTTTGCACAATATCACAAAATTGCCGCAATTTATTTTGGACCCTATTTGGAGGTGTGTAAACGTTTTGTACATAGAAAATTATGCTTCTGTGAAATAACATATCTATTCTTTTATCTATAAACCCCAGAGCTGCAACTTATGAGGAAACCTTGGAGTGAGATTTTGAAATGAATTTACCCTATTGTGGTAAATTTTGAGAGCTTTTTTATCTTGATTGAAATTTAACTTCTTCTGGGGGCCATACTTGAGACTTGAGGTAAAATACACATATCTCCTCACCAAAGTATGTATGTTCTATTCACAGTTTGTAAGTTTGTAGTTAGTATGGTAGGCAGCAAATAATTGTGTGTGACAGCATTGCAATTATGGTAACCGGTACGCCCTTCTCCACACAAGCGCACAACTGGGGTGTGATCAGGAGTTGTTTTCCTATTTTATGTGAATAAAACACACACTGATAAGATGGAATGAATACTGTGTACATTAGTCTGACCACAATCAAAGGCCACTCTATAATGTTCTGCTCTTGCTATTTTTAGGGAGTCTGGGTGCTCAGAAAACTATTGGGATGAATTGTCTCAGCAAAAGAGAGCTCACTTAAACAGATAAAGACAGATTTGTGAACCATCTCGGAAAGAGCTGGGTCGAATGAGGAAATATACAGAGGCAAAAACAAAAGCGCTACATTTGTGTTTTTGTTCAGTGTATAATATAAAAGACATGTAAAAGACAAAAGACAGAGTAAGAAGACTGATACCTGTGCATTCGTTTGCTGTTATCTTCACTGTCATCCTGATAGTCCTCTGTAGTCAGCTGCAACTCATCCTGAGTGTTCTGCAGAAGATCACTGGTCTATGAAGACAAAACATACAGGTTCTTCATGAAAACTGACCATATTAAAAGAATGGCTTGCAATGTTGGCAAAGTAAGACACACCACCTCTGCAGTAGAGTCCAGTAGGCTGGGAGGAGGGTAGCTGCTGGACAAGGCTTGTGATTCAAGTGTGCTCGAATCCTGCAGCTGCTGAACTGTGGAAAACTGATTCTGGTTGTAGCTCGGATCAGTAATTGTGAAACCTTATAACATAAAAAAAGATAGCAACAATTCAGTTACTCAATGAAATAATACATTTCAAACACAAGTACACCACAAAGCATATTTTCAAGATAGTTAATTCATCATGTATCATTTTGTTTTCACTTCACAATAGTCTTCAATAGGTATTAAAAAGAATAATCCAATTAAATATTTGCCTCCTGGACGCCTGCCCGGGGAGGTGTTCTGGGCACGTGCCACCGGGAGGAGACCCCTTGGGGTCCCCCTGGATGAGCTTGAGGAAGTCTGTGTGGATAGGGAAGTCTGTACGTCTCTGCTTAGACTGCAGCCCCCATGACCCGGCAATGTGATGTCACCTAATGTGGCCTTAATGTGGTAGATTAAAACTAGATTGAACACTTAATTTGAGAGGGAATGTGGAACCAAATCTATGTAATTTTTGTTGGTAGTCACGGCCGAGTTACCAAGCAACAATCAGTGCATTGGCGTTACTCGCTAGCAAAAGTCGAGGTAACAGAAGCCCACTGATTGGTCAGTTGTCCAACATTCTTTATGGATTTAAAAATACAATATCACAATATAAACAGTTTACTTTCCAATGTCAGTCAATAAGAGCCAGAGTGAGTAGGAGCGACACTTTGTCCATGAGCCATTGCCTTGTAAGTAGTAGTAAGTAATCTTTATTAATATAGGTCTATTGGGCTTCTTTGTGTTGGGGAGTTAGCAATTTCCATCTACAGTCTTTGAGTCAAATGAAGTGCTCGGCTTTCTCTCAACAAATATATTGTGCTGTATTATGTTCATAGTTTTTTGTTTGTAAACAGGAAGGCACCCACCTTCCCCCAGATATGAGTGAAACAAAATTATATTTTTAAATGAAATAATATGTGTATTAAGGACATGTCATAGTTTCACAATGTTGAAAAACTCAAAAGCGCCTTTATGTGCACTGAGAATAGAGGTTCAGCACAGACATGTGTTTTATGAACCAGATTTCAAACATTTTCAAACGTCTTTGATACCCTACAGTGCAGAGAGCGCTAGGTAAACAGATGTACCTTGTGTGAGAGACTGCTGATCAAAGCCAGGCTGGGGAAGAGCTTGGGTCTCAAATTGGCTGATATTCTGAGGCAAAGCATGCTGAGTGCTCACATAGGAATCTGTATCAAAACAGATGGGAGAATTATTATTTGCAGATTTTGATAACAATAGATCCATAGAAACAATTGAAAAACAAAGTTAAACCCTTACCTTCACCTTCTACAATTGGCTGGTCAGCTAGTGTTGTCTCCAGCGTCACCTGTTGGTCACCATTCACCACCTCAGTCTGGTCCAATCCCAGCATGCTCTGCTGCTCGCGTGTTGGTGTGGATGCCTGTTGTAGTGAGCCATTGGATATTTCCACCTGAATATCAGTTGTCTCCCCCAGTGGGTCATCTGTTGACTGATTCTGCAGCTGCTGCTGGGCCAGTTCATATCTGACAAACACAACAGAGTTAAAACAAAAACTCATGGGGAGGCCTCTTTCAGTTATGGGCCCCATCTTTGGAACGGTCTACCCAAGAATTTGATTATAATTATGTTATGTATATATTTTTTGAAACAAACCCGAAACTTTGATTTCACTTGAATGCATGTTTTTTTTAATTCTACCTCTAAAATGTTCAACTTCTCATAAATATCAATAATTTTCCATACTTTAAAACAGTTTTGAAGTTCTTTTAAAAAGTGGTCGTAGCCATAATTCTAATTGAACTGATACAACAAAATGATGATGCCTATTGTATACTTTATGCCTGTTGTTGTTTGTTTTCTTGCTATAATCAACATGTAAAATAAACACATATGCTTTAACTTGACACTCGAGAATACTGCTGACAAACCTGTGTGTCTTCATGTGCTTCCTGCAGTTGGGGGATGACTTGAAGGTCTTCTGGCAGTAGGGGCACATGTACGGTCTCAGGTCACTGTGGGTGGTCATGTGACGGCGCAGGCTCCCGCTGGTGGTGAATGTGGTGTCACACATGAGGCACTTGTACGCCTTCAGCCCAGAGTGTGTCAGAATGTGAGCTTTAAGCACCCCTGACGATGAGAAGCCACGACTGCACTGCCCGCACTTGTATGGCCGCTCTCCAGTATGAGACCTGGAGACGGAAAAAAAAGGGGATTTGATATGGAATCAAATCTGTGTGTGTTCTGAGCCTGTTGCATGAGAGGAATGATTGATGAACAAATACTGCAATAAGTTTTATATCTGCGTCCTGAGCTGCAACATATAGCAGCAGACCAAAACAACTATGAAGCTAATATCTTGATTTGTTACAATGAGATTATATATCTGACAGGCCTAGAGTATGCAAGCTGAAAAATCTCATTTAAAATCCTTTATCAAAATAAAGCTAACTAACGTTTCAAACATTTCACAGTAAGGGATTAATTTATCAAACTTTTGCTCACAGGCAAAAGCAATTACCATTCCTTATAATTATGAATCAATCATGGACATGGCCCAAAGAAATAAAGCAAGCACATTGCACCCACTATTTTACTTTGCACCCACAACTCAGATGGAGAAATGTGATTGGAATGATACATTAAGTCTACTATTCTTACTAAACCACCATAAAAATGTCCCCAAAACTGTAAAATTGATTTAATAGAGAATCATTTTTTAGTAACCACAGATATGAAATCATTTGCTCAGATCAAGTCCTTGTGACAAACGGCAAAGTAAAAATGATAGATTCAATTATCATTTTTAAGCCTTTTGATTCAGCTCTCAAGTAACAAAACCCAATCCTCAAACAGATAAAAAGACAATAACCACCTACCCAAAACTAGATAACACAGAAGTTGCTGAGGTTATAAAAACGTGAAATGGAAAAGGGGTGATCACTATGCATCGTGTGTAGTGTGAAGCTGTCATGTCACTATATTTCTTGCCACACATTAATAGGAGGACAAGAAAACTGTCAGTAGATGTAAATATAGACTGCTTGTTTGAGATAATGGATCCTCTTCTCAATCTGCCAGATGAGAGGAGCAAATTGTAGGACAATGACCATTTTGGGGCACAGCATAAATTATGGTCCATTATTCAGATAACCCTCTAAATTGCAAATGAACAATGCCATCCATAAGGTAGGTTATAGACTGCAAGGTGATGCGGTTTAGTGGACACTTGTAGATCAAATAAGGTTACTGACCACACAGTGTATCAATCATAGTTTAACTGACAGGTACGTTCAACAGAATTGCAATTTACAACATAACAGTCAAAATTATTTACGTCCCTGTCGAGGCTAATACAACTACGCAGTTAATACAACTTTCAGAGGACCTCAAATTAACTTTCAAAAATTCACTCTGTGCCAAATGACGTTTTGTTTCTCTCTTTATGATCCAATCTAATCTATTTTAAAATCAGCACTGTGTCATGAATAAGTCCCTTTGTTCCCAGCAGATACTCTACACCCTAATTTAACATTAAAACAAGTTTAAGAAACTTATAATGACCTGCCAACCAAGATTATGCAAGCAGTATGCAAGAAATTCTCACATTTGCCGTTCGTTCTACACTAGTAATCTGGAAAAATAGGATTGTAAAATGATTAAATCTAAAGACACGGATAATTAACACATTTGTTGCAGTCTCGCGGAAAAGGAGAGATACTGCAATGGTAAGTGTGATCTTTGACAATTAAAGATACTATTATTAAAGCCCAACCTGACATGCTGTTTGAGATGGCTGGATTTCTTGTAAGCCTTATTACAGAACTGACACTTAAAGGGCCTGTCAGTATTAACCACATCTAGATACTGTTGGAATGCCAAGCGAGGGGTCTGGGAGAGGATAAGGCCTGGAACAAAAGGAAGGGTTTAGAATAGTGCAACATAAACAATTTAATCAAAATGTGTTTTATTAAATGATCCTCGATTACCAAAATCAGTAATGAGTATGGGTTCTTGTAAAGGGATATCGGGGAGAGGCACATTAGTCTTGGGCACTTTGGTTTTGTTGGCTTTTCGAGGAAACTTGTGCTTTTTCTGTTGAGCACTTTTCAAGTGTGAAGCAATGTGAGTTTTCCTGTGTCCTGATGTTCGGAAGATTTTGTCGCAGTGTGGGCAAGGGAAAGGTCGCACACCTAGAGGAAAGGACAAATAGTTGCTTATTGATAATAACTCGGATAAAGCCGGAAATCACACACATACCACATATGGGGTTGGATAAACAACTCTATAGGAGGTAATACAAAAGATATAGTTTTTTTTTTTTTTTTAAGCGAATGTGAGTTCCTTCTTAAATTGTGAATAGAGAAAACCATTGGTCAAACTATTCTCCTCCAGAATATCTTATCGATGACGTTTGTGGCCATTAAATATATAATCTTTAGAAAAATACTTAAGATACATGAAAGTATATCCATCAATCTCACACAGTAGTATTCAATTTCAATTAAAGTTAACTCTAAAAAAGGTAAATTTCATGATTCACAGCAGAATAGAATGGACTAAACACTCTGAAACACACTTTACTCATCCTTATGTGCACTTTCATATTTGATGGTGTGCTAAGAAGGAACAAGCCCTGAACTAGGGATCCTTTTGCTCATCGCCCTGTTGGAGAGTGAACGGCCAGCCTACCTGTATGCAGCCGCATGTGCACCTTCATGCTGCCAGAGGTGGAGAAGCACTTGAGGCAGCTTTGGCACTCAAAGGCCTTAATACCAGTGTGCGTTTTCATGTGTGCGGTGAGGGTGCTCTTCACTGCAAAAGCTCTGTAGCACTGTTTGCACTTGAACGGCTTCTCATGGGTGTGGATGCGAATGTGCCGTACAAGGTCGCTGGGTTTCTTGAATTCTTTGGAGCAGTATGGACAGCCGTGCCAGCGGACACCATTTTCCTCCCGTATGGTACCTGGGTAACAGATACACCAGAAACTTCAAGGAGTATGCAAGTTTAGTTTGTTAAAGCAAAGCAAAATGCAAAAGTGAAATATCTCCAAAATGGTTATGACTTTATCTGAAATACATATCCCACTGCAAACATGGACCTTTTTGATCTAACATTTACCAATTCATTTTATAACAGTCTTTATAAACGTTTCTGCTCCTGAGAACATTATGTCATCACACAACAATATAGATGTTTACATAATATCTTGAGCAATCACAATACCTGGCATTTGTATAGGCTTCTTGAAGATATTCCTTTTCTTCTCCCTCATTCGCTCCAGAACTTTCTTGTTTGACACCATTGGTGCATGTGTGTTGTGGCTGCTGTTATTGTGAATGTTTTGCGTCAGCCGTTGAGTGGCATTGTCTTCAGGCTGTACAACACTTAAGCCACTGTTCTCCAGAGCTTGCTGTGAAAATTCAAATAATAAATACATCTTAATTATTACATAAAAAAACTTAAAGATACACATTATTCCTTATACAAACGCACTAGTTTCAATAATCCTCCCATCAATAGTCATTATGTCTAAAACCACAGACAGATTTGTCTTGAGTCAAACATGCCAATATCACAAATACGTTATGTATGGATCTGAATTTGAGAGAGGAGTGTAAACACAGAAGGTAATTGAGTAGTAACAGATATTATAGATATTAGAGAACACTTTCTAAATCCTCCAGGACTCGTGCACCAAAGTCGATGTCTGTGTCAGCCTGCCGTTAAACACACAGAACTGACCCTGTATGCCATTTCTAATATTCAGACAGAGACCGGATCGAACAAAATGTGCACTCACCTGTAGAATATCCTGATTGATAGCTGTCTCAATGGGAATAGCTGGCTCAGGAGGTGGGGGTTGGCAGGTCTCTCCGCTCACCTGTTCGGACAGCTCTAACAGCTGTTGGATGACATCGGTGACCCCCTCCCCGCCCTCAGGTACTTGGCCTGATGCTTCGGTTTCCTGTCAAAGAATCAGTTGGTAGAATATATGCATTTTATGATCCCAAAATTAGCACTTTGAAATCCTCTGACACATATGTTGAAAAGTGTGATTTCAGCTCCCATAAGCCACTTTTGCATAAGCCTGGTTCTTGGAGGGATCAGGACTCCAAACTTACATCCGCACTAAGACATACAACATCCACCCAAAACACCTGTGTCTGCAGAGTCCAGAGAAGCACTTTCCAAACACTGCAGTACACACCCCCATTTTTGTACCTATCCAGTGTTAGTACTGTCTGTGTAATATCATATCCATCCACTCTCCTCCTTCACTAAATGTGTGAAAATTGAAAATGATACATGTACAGCCACTCTGCAGTCTTGCTCTGCTCTCCACCTGGCTGATGAGCAGGAACTCACACGGTGCACTTTGTGGGCTCGGCACGGCTTGCTAATGAACGTGTAGACGTTGACGTAGAATGCTTAAGTTAGCGAGTGACATACGCACTGTCAAAAGTGGCGTTGACTTGCAGTCACATTGCATAAGCTCAAAATAGATAAGTGAGGATTTTCTGACATTTAGTGTATTTTTATTACCATGTGAGCTACCCACCCTACCTTCACATTTGACTGGTAGACATACTGGAAAGCCCTTGCAGTCTCTAATAAATTAAGCAAAGCACCCTCATTGATTGAACAAGAAGAATGATGGACTTGGCATTTAAAACTAATAACATGGGTGCAGTTGGGTTAACCTTACAGCCTGTGGGGAGTAAGTGAGATTAGGGGTAGTCTTTGTGTTGAATCAAAAACATGATTCATGGACAGTGTCCATGAATAGTAATACTGCTAAATGAAAGCCAGTAGGTGATGAATGATTTAAAAGGAAAAAAAATAAATAATTATATACAGTTGACTATCCTTACCGATGCACTGGAGGGAACATCCATGACAGAAATATGCATTTTGCTGATGTGGGCATTGAGGCTGCCCAATTTTTTAAACACACAGCTGCAGTCCATGCATGGAAACATGCCGCCTTTCGCCTGCAAGAAAACATGTCATGGTATATTAAGTCCAGGCATAACAAAACATTTTAGACGGCATGTAGGAGGCCGAATGAGGCAACTCTTCCTACTAGTGCCTTTCACCTCAAAATACTGTACATCTTTGTACTTAGTTTTGTCGTGTGCCGTTATATTTAGCAAATTAAGTTTTACCAATCTAAAATGTATATTTACATATGTTGCAAAATCAGTTCAGAATTTCAGAGTCATTTTTAATAGTTTGTAAATCTCAACTACATCAATAAGGAGCATAAAAACACATGTCAAAAATATTACTATCAGAGGTGGGCAGGACATGTCCATATTTCATATTTGGGTCCTCAGATTCTCCATTCTTCTATTTGAACAAGTATAAAAATGTGAACCTTGTGTCTGACCTAAGCATCTCTAAGGTCATTCTGAATTAAGAATGTACAGTGCCTTGCGAAAGTATTCGGCCCCCTTGAACCTTTCAAAATTTTGCCACATTTTAGGCTTCAAACATGAAGATATAAAAAATCAATCAATCAATCAATCAATCAATCAATCAATCAAAGTTTATTTGTAGAGCACCTTTCATACACAGGGCAACACAAAGCGCTTCACAGTCCACATCACAAATCATCACATAAAACAAACACCAGAATCACAATTAAAACGTTAAAATCACACAAAAGATTAAAACACAGTTAAAACATTAAAATCACACAAAAGATTAAAACACAATTAAAACATTAAAATCACACAAAAGAATAAAACCATTAAAACTTTCAAAATTACACAAGAAATTAAAAAATAAAAAATAAATAAATGACAACAGTGCATTAGAAATGGAGATAAAATCCTTCAGTTGTATGCACAGGCAAACAGAACAGTCTTTAACCTGGATTTGAACATTGACAGAGTAGACGCCTCCCTCACATTTTCAGGGAGATTGTTCCAGATCTTAGCTGCATGGATCTGAAACGCAGCCTCCCCGTGTTTGGTTCTCACTCTGGGCACCAGCAGGAGGCCAGTCCCTGTGCTCCTCAGAGTCCGGGCTGGTTCATATGACACCAACATGTCACTAATGTATTTTGGTGCAAGGCCATGGAGAGACTTGTACACAAGCAGAGCTGTTTTAAAATCTATTCTCTGAGCCACAGGAAGCCAGTGCAGAGACCTGAGGACCGGACTAATATGGTCATACTTCCTGGTTCCTGTCAGGACTCTAGCTGCTGCATTTTGGATGTACTGCAGCTGCTTACAGGTCTGTTTGGACAGACCTGTAAGCAGGCCATTGCAGTAGTCTAGCCTGCTGGAGACAAATGCATGGACAAGAATCTCCAAGTCTGCCCTGGACACTATATTTCTAACTTTGGCAATGTTCTTCAGATGGTAAAAAGCTGTTGATGTTATTGATTTTATGTGGCTATTGAAATTTAGGTCTGAGTCCAGTATTACCCCCAAATTTCTGACCTTGTCTGAAGGAAGTAGGGAGAGAGACTGAAGTTGAAATAGACTGAAAAAAAAAAAAACAACAAGTGGGACACAATCGTGAAGTGGAACGAAATTTATTGGATCATTTGAACTTTTTTAACAAATACAAAACTGAAAAGTGGGGCGTGCAATATCGGCCCCCTTGCGCTTATACTTTGTAGTGCCACCTTTTGCTGCAATTACAGCTGCAAGTCGCTTGGGGTATGTCTCTATCAGTTTTGCACATCGAGAGACTGGAATTATTGCCCATTCTTCCTTGCAAAACAGCTCGAGCTTAGTGAGGTTGGATGGAGAGCGTTTGTGAACAGCAGTCTTCAGCTCTTTCCACAGATTCTCGATTGGATTCAGGTCTGGACTTTGACTTGGCCATTCTAAAACCTGGATACGTCTATTTGTGAACCATTCCATTGTAGATTTGGCTTTATGTTTTGGATCATTGTCCTGTTGGAAGATAAATCTCCGTCCCAGTCTCAGGTCTTTTGCAGACTCCAACAGGTTTTCTTCCAGAATGGTCCTGTATTTGGCTCCATCCATCTTTCCATCAATTTTAGCCATCTTCGCTGTCCCTGCTGAAGAAAAGCAGGCCCAAACCATGATGCTGCCACCACCATGTTTGACAGTGGGGATGGTGTGTTCAGAGTGATGAGCTGTGTTGCTTTTACGCCAAACATATCGTTTTGCATTGTGGCCAAAAAGTTGGATTTTGGTTTCATCTGACCAGAGCACCTTCTTCCACATGTTTTGGGTGTGTTTCCCAGGTGGCTTGTGGCAAACTTTAAACGAGACTTTTTATGGATATCTTTGAGAAATGGCTTTCTTCTTGCCACTCTTCCATAAAGGCCAGATTTGTGCAGTGCACGAGTGATTGTTGTCCTATGGACAGACTTTCCCACCTCAGCTGTAGTTATCTGCAGTTCATCCAGAGTGATCATGGGCCTCTTGGCTGCATCTCTGATCAGTCTTCTCCTTCTTTGTGATGAAAGTTTGGAGGGACGGCCGAGTCTTGGTAGATTTGCAGTGGTCTGATACTCCTTCCATTTCAATATAATTGCTTGCACAGTGCTCCTTGAGATGTTTAAAGCTTGGGAAATCTTTTTGTATCCAAATCCGGCTTTAAACTTCTTCACAACAGTATCTCGGACCTGCCTGGTGTGTTCCTTTGTCTTCATGGTTCTCTCTGCGCTTTAAACAGAACCCTGAGACTATCAAAGAGCAGGTGCATTTATACGGAGACTTGATTACACACAGGTGCATTCTATTTATCATCATCAGTCATTTAGGACAACATTGGATCATTCAAAGATCCTCACTGAACTTCTGGAGTGAGTTTGCTGCACTGAAAGTAAAGGGGCCGAATAATATTGCACGCCCAACTTTTCAGTTTTTATTTGTTAAAAAAGTTAAAACTATCCAATAAATTTCGTTCCACTTCACGATTGTGTCCCACAAAAAATTTAATTTTATATCTTTATGTTTGAAGCCTGAAATGTGCCGAAATGTTGAAAGGTTCAAGGGGGCCGAATACTTTCGCAAGGCACTGTATAGTATTATGCAATCAGCAAAAATGTGTTGCAATAACTCAAAAGGGTAATGGCCGGATTTTGAAAACCCTGTGTATGAGTGAACAATGTGGGTATTGTGAGATTTCATAACACTTTGAAGCAACTTTTGTTAAAGTTAAGCTCATCATGCTATCAATGTGCAGAAGCCAGTACTTTTCCCTTGTTTTGTCTATCTGAAGGCCAAGCTACAAGCACACCGTGGAAGCTGCTGATTGGAGGTCTCCATGCCTCCGCTCTGTATAATACACTTGCATTTTGTTGTATCTGTTGTTCGTGCTGTCTCTACCATCGACAATAAAACATGTCTTCTGTCGGAATTTATGACACGATCCCAGACATGTCATCTTCTTCAGGTGGTGGAGAATGCGGGCATTGTCTGTAACATCTACAGAACAGGGGCCGTATTCCTAAAGATTCTTACTGCTAAAAGTTGCTCCTAGTGGCCAAATTCTAAGAATTTTCTTAGAATCTTGACCAACTCTTAGAATTTCCCCTAAAAGTGAGGAGTAGCTCCTAGTTAAGATAAAAGCTATTCCTAAAAAATCCTAGCTCTTAAGAGTGCTCTTAAGGGGAGATCCCTTAAGAGTTGAGAGGAGGACTTTTAGCGACTTAAAAGTTCCCTAAGAGACAAAATGGTGGACGGTGGAGACAGGAGAAATATTCTATACACTGGATGACAGTGAATCAGTGAAACGCTACAGATTCAAGCAGGAATCATGTTTGTGGTATATTTAAAAGTCAATCATGTGACCAGCTTCTCATTGGCTGGTCAGCAATAACACCTCATCCATTTTACCTTTGTTACACAAAAGTAAGTAGAAATGGTAAAAGTTGAAAGAGAGGAAAAAGTGGTCCTAAATTGTCACACATTCAGTACGAATGAATGAATACTTTATTTTGAGCCATGGCAAACAAGAAAAAAAAGGACAAAACAAACAAAACAACAACAGAATAGAAGTACAAATATACAGTTTTGTTTTATTAACAACAATCCAGCTCAAAAAGGAGTGGGAGAGGATAAGACTTTTAAGCTCCCTTGTACTTCATTTGTACAGTGTATGTATAATATGTTTATATTAATATTGTTTCCTTAATTCCTTAAAAGTCTATACATATCACAGCCTTTACTAATCCTAACGTTATCATTATCATCATTTATCCATATAATATTTATAATAATAATTTTCTTTATCATGTATATTATATATAGAGTAATATTTAAATTATATGTATATATATATATATATATATATATATATAATATATATATATATATATATATATATATATATATATATATATATATATATATATATATATATAAAATTATAAGTGCTCATGATATATACGTATTATGTGTGGATAAATTGGTGCTGAGCAAGCTCTGATGATGGTGTATAAGTCTAACTTTACTATTCACAGTATTTATGTACCATTGATATATCTGACTTTATAGCTTTTGGTTATTATTTACAATAACACAGTGTTCCTAAGATTAGATTCCATGATTGAGTTTGTCCATTTTAGGGCCCTTATTTTGCCTATTATCATCAAAAATACGTTTGTTCTAACTTTTAGGATCAACCAATCACAGCGTCTGAAATGATGACTCATACCTAGCAACGGGGTCGGCCACGCCTCCTCACTAAGATAAAAGTTGTTGTCAATTCCTTGCTCAGAGTTCTCTAAGAGTGTTCTGGAATAACTTTTAAGCTAAGACTCCTAGCTAGGAGTTTTTAGGTTAAGATAAGAGCTCTCTGAGAGGACTCTCAGAATCTTTAGGAATACGGCCCCAGAAGACTTTTTTTTTACACAAAAAGTGTTTTTTTTAAGCCAAAACTGAGAAACCTCAAGAGAATGCATCTGGATCAGCACACTTGGACTATCTGCACAGCCCCTGATTCTACTCAGGCTGTGAGTTGCTGAGGCATGGACAATACCATCGTCCTCTTTTGCATGGACATCATTTGGAAAAATTGGATTACACAATTTGGACATGATTTGGAACAATTGGATTTCTGAATTTGGACATAATTTGGACTGAATTGAATTGCTGAATCTGGACACTAAAGCTGAAACGTGTGATTGAAAGACACGTCACAGAAGAATTCATGGCTTGACACAACAAATGCAGCCTGAAGAAACACAGGGAAAGTGGGAGAGACTGTTTTCAAAGCAATATCTGGAACCACCATCGACTGATGAAGTTTGGTATTTTACTGAAGATTGTTGACAAGTTTTATGAAAGATCTGAACATGTTTTATGAGTTTTCTGAGTTTTTGAAGTACCGAGTGAAGTACCGAGTTTTTGAGTTTTTGAAGTATTGAGTTATGATGTTATGTTGCTGTTTATCGATCCTGATGGTCACACGGGAATGTGTGACCAGAGGGGGGAATGTGAGATTTCATAACACTTTGAAGCAACTTTTGTTAAAGTTAAGCTCATCATGCTATCAATGTGCAGAAGCCAGTACTTTTCCCTTGTTTTGTCTATCTGAAGGGCAAGCTACAAGAACACCGTGAAAGCAGCTGATCGGAGGTCTCCATGCCTCCGCTCTGTATAATACACTTGCATTCTGTTGTATCTGTTGTTCGTGCTGTCTCTACCATCGACAATAAAACATGTCTTCTGTTGGAATTTATGACACGATCCCAGACATGTCATCTTCTTCAGTATTTAGGTTTGAAATATAAAGACTTCAAGTCTATTGATAAAAGAAGCTTACAACTATGGCTTGTATTTTGAGGAGAAAAACACAGCTGAAATTGTAAAAAGGTGAGGCACAGTCCGTCTCAAACTTTTAAAGATAGTGAACCAGTCACCAATCAAGCAGTCCACAGAGTGATTAAGTGTCAAGGAAACTATATGCGTCAAAAACATTTTGTAGGTTGTAATGTGGTACACATTGTATAACAAAAACCTAATTAACATAAACCCATAACCCAGAAGATATAATGAAAGGATTTACGAACCCAACAGCAACCACCAGAGATTAAATTAAAAATGGGTTTCGGAGTGGTAAATAGGACCCATGTGGATGTTAATTTAGCTCATAAAAGAACAAGCTTTTTTCATCTTTTACAGATGACTTTGAAAGGGCATTTTCCAATTTAGAAAGTTCCAGCGGATGTCTCCATGACAATGCTATTGTTTTGAACTATAGAACCTGAATTTTAAGAGTTAAGATATGTTGATGCTCAAGCAATGCAAAATGAGGCAATCAGGTCCTATTTTACAAAACACCATAAAAACAATCAATATACAAAGACGCATGATAATGAATACTATTGAGATTTAAAGTGTCCCTATCTGGAGCCTTCATTCTACAAGAGGCGGAAATACACCAATTCTAATAACATTGTCCTCAAAGCTCTGAATATTTATTTGAAACAAAACCACAACTCTTGATGATGACTGTAAATCCAGTCGGCCAAATGGACAAACTCAATCTGGAACAGGAAAGCTGAAGAACACTTACTAAAATTAGGTGCATTATTGAAATTGTCTGCTTGGCTTTACAAGTAACTCAATCCTGTAGTTGCATTATAATGGTTTTTTTAACAGGGAACACCTAGTTTGCCATCAATCAGTGGATGAAAGTCCTGAGTTCATAAATATAACCATGATTTAAAGTAAATGGCATACTGTCAACGTAATGATGCTTGAGTAACGTAGGTAGTTGTGGATGTTTAATTATCAACTAACAATTAAGTAAATAAGCTATTTGAATAATAAGCACATTGTAACAGTGTTATTCTCCTGATTGGGAAGAGATTTTGGACAGAGCCGTTTCAGTTACTCAGAAACATAAATAGCAACCCCATAGCAACCAAAGATCCAATCACTATTCACATTTCTATACAATAATTTGTTTATCTAGTTTTGGCTTTTGCTGTTCTGTTCAGGCAACATGGCAGTAACCATGCAACGGGAAGCCACGGAAAAGTAAATGGGGATGAAACCAATGATGAATAAGCAATAAGAAGCCCTCATAACCGCCCTTGTAAGGTACTTACACGAAGGACACGATGAGCACTAAAAAGCAGGGATTTTGTGTCATTAATTTGTCAACACACAAACAACATGGTAGAAGTGTTCCTACCGCAACGAATCTAACACACATCGGCCTGACACTTTTGTGCCAGAGAGAAGTCGAACAAAGCAGGACATAATGATATGGCCTTTGAAATGGATTTGGTAAAATAAAGATATTGGAAAAAGACAAGGAGTTAAAAGCATGGGTGTATTGAGAGACAGGAGTGGCTGAGGTCACAAATAAGCCATATTTTTAGTGCAGAAAATTTAATTATATAATCATTCTCAATTTGATATGGTGGAATGTTCAGGCACATACAACTGATTGGGGATGTGTAATAGCAGAACAACCAGCCGAATAAAACTATAACTTAAATCCGTTAAAATTAATGCATATTAATTCCTCTTCAATGGGAAAATTGCATAAAAAGCATAATAGTACATTGTCTTTTTTTTGTAAGTTTATCTTGCTGTGTGGACAGGGAGTGTGTAGATGAAGGGCAAAATTTCCTGCGCACACATGCCCCAGACGAAGGAAAAATCAGGTTTTCAGAGTATTGATACAACTTTACTTTACTGGGAACACACACTTTGTGCTAAAGCTGGCTATATAATAAACAAAGGGAACTGAACTTGTTTAGTTTAAATGTCTTGTATGAGTACCATTCCAAGAGCCTTACCTCAGAGTGAACTCTCTGAACATGGCATTGCAGGTTTCCTTTTTGAGAAAAGGATGCAGGGCAGAATATACACAGGTGGGGCTTTTCACCAGTGTGCTTCACCATGTGGGTCTGCAGCACCGCCTTCTGGTTAAATGCTTTTCCACAGTGTGAACATTTAAAGGGACGTTCACCTGGAAAATATGCACTTCTTTCAGGCATTCATCTTATATAATGTTATAAAATGTACTGTCGAATAGATTTACAATACCATTACAATTTCTAACTAGGCAATGTTGGCAAATCAATAAGGAAAAGCTGCAACATCTATATATTTCTGTGCCTTTACATTTCTAACCAAGCATTGGTGCAACATAGATTATGTCTTGAAAACAAGTATGCAGAATGTAGGTGGAGGCTTCTGATCATGATTACTGGAAATGTTTTTAGACTTTACAACTGCTAAAGCGAAAGCAGAATATAGAAGTTCGAGAGAGATGATTACTAGAGGGTCAATTTTCATCAGGTGCTCCTCAGGATCAGCAGTGAAAAACACTGATCTACATACAGTATAGGCACAAAACAACCCGAGGCACTCTAGACCTTTCTTACGTAAAAGCAAAATACACGTTCATACTCAACCTACTTTATGTGCGTGAGAAAAACTCTTCTTACCTGTGTGTATCCTGATGTGTCGGACCAGTTGACTGGGTTTTTTGAACGTTTTTCCACAGTGGAGACAGCTATTTGTGAAGCCACTGCGATCAATACTTTTCTTATAATTTCTGAAAGACGAGGAAAGTGATCTAAGGAAGTACAAAAAAAGTAAATGATTAACATAATAACCATTCTCAAAGATCAGTAAAGAATTAATCATCCATGTTTTCTATAAATAAACCTCATCCACTGACTAACACAGAAAACATAATATTATTATCATAGTACCATATGTTTCAAACACGTTCAACAAATAGTGGCTTGACCTGATCTTAACATGAGTCTTCATGTGCTCCTTGAGATACGCTGACGTCCTGAACTCCTCATGACAGGACTTACAGTTGAAGACCTTGGCACCAGACAACTCTTTACGGTGCTCCTCCAAGTGAAGGGAGAGCTGACTCTGAAGGACAAACTCATCCCCGCACTCTGCACACATCAAATTCTGCAAATAACAGAAAAATAAATGTACAAACTTTTGTATGAACAAATAACAATATATTTATACTGACCTCCTCCTTTTCATGTAACATCAGGTGAGATTTGAGGCTAGCAATGCGTGAAAACTTCTTGTGGCAGACCGGGCATGCAAAGTCTGAAGTGCTATGCGTTGACTTGTGAAGGGTAAGATTAAACTCCAAATTGAAGCTTTGTGGACATTGCTCACATCGGTGAGGCTGGGGGAAAAAAATTGGCAAACACTTTTATATTGTGATACTATTGACACTTAGAAAAACCAAAAACAAATGAATAAACCAGATTTAAGAATAACATATTACTTTATTGTGCCTTTTATAATGATTCCTTTTATATTGATTCAAGAATCAGAAAACAGGATAAACAAGCAGTGGTGTAAGCACTGTATGAGACAATGTTCCACTGCTGCTGAGGAAACATGCAATGCACAGGCTTTTGATGAAGCTGGCACCGAATACATAGTTATTCTTTAGAGCATGGCGTTTGGGAGCGCTATTTCACAACATTAAAGCTCCTGATAAACAAAGGAGATTAACATTTCTGCAATACAACAATGTCACGAATATACCCCAAAACCTACAAATGTGACACTTAGCTTATGTTTTTCAACTGCTCAATATTTAACTCTAACGTTAACTATATTTTTGGCATCACAAAATAGGGGACATCATCAAGTAAACCTTAGTAGATCCTAGAACGTTCATAAAAAAAGAGCAGATAAAAACTTTTGTTGTATGCACAATTAAACGGAACAGTTTTAAAAGAGACTTATCAAGTGAAAACAAATGACGACATAATGTACATTCAAGCCAGAGAGCAGAGACATCAGAGACACATGTGGACAACCAGTGTCCACATTTAAATTCTACCCAATCTATCTGATCCCTGGTCAGATTTGTGGACTTGCCTTGTCACTCTCATGTTCGCGCAAGTGCTTCTGCAGCTGACTCTCAGATGAAAAGGATTGAGTACAGGTTGTGCATTTCTTGTCCTTGAGCTCTCCGTCATTGAACCTCTCAGCTTTATTGGGATCAGCATCTGATGATAGGGGAAAATCCATCACAACCAATTAAGATCAAGAGGGATTCATGTGACATATGTGTTTCAGAGATTGCAAATAATACAACAGTTGCGTAGTTCACACAAGAGTTTAAGCTGTTTATTACTTCTGCTGATAATCTACATGCTATCGATTTTAAGAATTATTCTTGTTGAAAAATGGAGGACGATTACAAATGAATTATATATGACAATGTGAAACTGTCGTATGGTCAAACGGTCGCACTGAGGCCTCTGTAAAAATTATTTGTTGCACCTGGAGCTGTTCATCTAAAACATAAATGAAAGAATGCTAAAATGACTAGATTACTTGATCCATTTCAAGGAAGATTACTCAAGAACTCTGATCTAAATTGCTCCAACTGACCCCGGAATTTCTGACTGGGAGGTGTCCGAGGCTGCTCTTGTTGCTTCACAAAGATAATCACCACAAACTGTAATTGGAGTTGTTTACCCCGGAGTTTTAGCCAACGGTTAGAGATTAAAAATTTAGCTTACATTCGAGTTAATTTGCTTGAGCGCTCTTAACTTTTCAATGGGGGAATATTCAAATTCCTGGTTTTCTGGAAAGCATGAGTACACATCTGTCCTCATTTTAAGTATCTTATGATGATAAACTACTGCTTTGATACAAATAGGTTGCAGCCATGTTCTAGGGCAGGTGCCAATACAACTCTCATGGAAAGAAGGATATCTGAGAGAAATGTTGAATAAGAAAATGTCAACTCATTAGTTAGTGACTAGATTTACAACTTTATTTAATTATACTGGACAACATCTTTCATTTATTTGTCATCATCACAAATAGCACTTTTACATTATTTTATTAGAAAATACTAAGACCATAGCCTGCTCGTAGCCTAGGTTACAAAGACCATGTTGCACTTTGTGACTATATTTTTCAGGTGAATTGCCCCTGTTATAATTTAGCTATAAACTAATAACAGTTTATAGCTAACAATGGCAAATAACTTTTGCCATTAAACTAAATATTGATATCCTTCTTTATAAACTATTATTTTTGCACATGTTGACTTTCTTAAAAAAAAAAAAAAAACAATTATATATATATATATATATATATATATATATATATATATATATATATATGTTAACCTTAAAACACATTTCGAGTTGTTTAGTATTCAAGATAGAATATGAAAATGTATATGTTATCTTAATGACAACGACCATACATACAACAGTGTTTCAAGATATAATGTTTATGTTAGTTAAGTGGAGGATCAATTTGTCCAGTGAGGCAAATAGAAAACTGTTTGAACAAAATAGAATCTCATCATAGACTAATGGATGTTATTATTGGAGAACATCAAGGCGTCATTATTTTCTGATAACTGGGGTTAAACAAGCGGCACAGACTGCAGACGGGGAAATGTTTGATTTACGCAGGCGAGGGAACATTCAGTGACAGAACCAGTCAGGGTTATTATAATCAAAACACAGACATGACAGCGCTAATGAAAAGAAGTGAGTGCTGCCCAGTCCCAGTGGTCAGGTAAAAGGACATCACAGAATAGTTCTCACAACCAAAACCAAAACAATGAGCGGTATTTAGCATGTTAGCCTATAGCAAACGATAGCATTTTGAGCTAGTTAGCAAAAACAAGCTAACGATAAACGTATAAAAGCGTAGGGTTAAAATGTGTATACACGCTGAAACTACTACAGCAGCCCCGCACAGATGTTACCCCCGCAGACGCCAATTTACACTGGAAGCCAATAAGAAGAGGCACCCAAATGTTTTTAATATCATTCCGCCTCAATCACTCCTTCGCCGCACAAAGCAAGCCCACTGCAATACTATATCCGGGGACTATATACACAATATTTAACTCATAATATCTAGTCTACAGAGATGTTTACCTGAACGGTCCAAAAATATTTAGATAGCTCGAAATATTTATTTTTTATTCATTCTATTTTGGCACTAGTTACCTGTATCCTCGTTGCTTTTAACTCTCAGTTTGCGAGGTCGGCCCCGCGGCATAGTTCCAGTATTCAGGGCGGGTGTGCTGTGAACAATCTGCTTTTCAAAATGGCGACTACATCATTGGACTCTGTAGGACCAGCTCCGTGGACAAGGGAGACATCTACTGTTCGGTTTGGAGAATATTGCCAAATCTTATTGACGTTTGATGCCATATTATATTACTATCAATTTTATGATTTATTATATATATGCGTATAAATGTGGCCATGCAATCATGTGTAGGTATATGCGCGGATTTGTATATGTATATATTTATAACAAATCTTTCATTTTATCCGTCATTTAAAAATGTACTTATTTATTTATCATTATCTTGCGTGGCGACATCTTGACTATGACCTGACTGCAAGAATACTGTAAACTACCTTTCACAATAATAATAAAAAGCAAAAATACAAAAAAAAAAAAAAAAAAAAAAAATGATTTAGTATTGTGCAATATATTATCCAATGCTAATAGGCCCATATAAAGACTAAAATAAATATTTGGAGAATGATTTGGGCATTATGTAGGTAGCAGTATTGGGAACAACTTGTTAATTTTATAATACATTAGTTACAGTGTCTCTGTAGTAGGATACAGCTCATTAAAAGCTCATGAAAACTGGTTATATTGGTTATGCGTTACTTGCATTTATGTAAAAGCACACTTGCTATGTTTTCTTGACGTATGCAATTATTTGAGGAAAAGAAGAGCATGATAGTTTCTATAACTTGTGTGGAACAATAACACATCCAGAAACAGCATAAGTATTTGAAATAATTCCAAGAGTAATCCCAGTTTTCATTCATATAATTGCAATTTAACTACATCAATCAATCAATCAATCTTTATTTATAGAGCGCTTTTCCTACACAGGGTTACACAAAGCGCCTCACACCACACAAGGCACAAATCATCACATAAACAAAGGCAAAATCAACATTAAAAATACAATTAAAATCACTCAGGTAATTAAAACATTAGAATTACACAAGTAATTAAACCATTAAAATCAAACAAAGAATTACAATAATAAATAACACAGTGCGTTAAAAAGATAAAATTCTTCAGTTGTATGCACAGGCAAAAAGAAAAGTCTTTAACCTGGATTAACCTGGTTACTACCAGGTAATTTACCAGGTAGCTCTAATCAAAAAATATATGAATAATATTCATGCCACAAATAGTGTTTTTGGAAAAGACTACAAATTACCACAAGATCCTGAATTTAAATAAAATAATAACTACAAAGTGGGGCTTGTAAAAGTATTTATTACAAATTATGTGGAAATCATTGACGGCTTCTATAAAACTATATAGTCACCATGGTTTTATTTTTGATGATGTAAAAGTCTGGATGTCTATCAACTTGCACAAGCACTGATGGTGCTTTTAAAATGGACAAACAAAGAAGCGCTGTTGTCAATGCCAGCTTCTTCCAGTTGAGAGTTCTGACCAAGGTTAAGCGCTATCTGCCACCAAATGATCTTGAAAAGATTGTGCTCTCCCTAATAACCACATGGCAGGACTATTGTAACTCACTGTACTATGGCCTTGATCAGTCCTAAATTCGCAGACTGCAGCAAGTACAGAATGCAGCAGCTTGGATCCTGACTGGCACCTGACGCCACGAGCACTCCTGTGCTGTCGTCTCTTCATTGGCTTCCTGTCGCTTTTGGAATTCAGTTTAAAATTGTATTGTTGGTATTTAAATCACTGCACGGCCTGGCTCCATTATGTCTCACTGATTTGCTTACTTTGCAGTGCACACTTCGGGCAGAGCACTCAGGTCCTCCGGCCAGCTTCTTCTGCACTGTCCCAGGTCTAGACCAAAGACCAGGGGAGACCTGTCCAAATAAACATGCAGAGAATTGGTGAGGTCATAGCAGGCAGAGAATTCACACGGCTGTTATTATTATGTGTTTATTTGATAGTGACAGAACAAAAAGCATTGTTACAGGAACCGATACCATGTTCATAGGCCATATAGCTAACAGCTAATTTGCAGACCTGGCCCCTAGGACATAGAAATATAAATACACCCCCTCGTTTTCACCCCCCCGAAACATCGTCTCTTTGAACAGGAGGCCAAACCAATACCCAACTCACAAGCCCTGATGAAAACAGCAAGTTGAAACGCGTTAGCTGATTTAAACCAGAACTCTTTGCATCCGAATTCTTCTGACTCATTTTCTTTAAAGATATCTACCGTTTTACTCGTTTTACTGTCACGGCATCTCCATCTAAACAGGGCCTTTTTTTCACGGGAAACTGCATCTGAAATCCGCAACACATCTGTTAATTTGCGAGACTTCACTAAGGTGCTGTTCACATGAGGACGCTGCAAACGTAAAACTTTAGAGTTGGTTATCGGATTGGCCTTTCATTTACATGAAGACAGTGTTTCAGGTGTGTGAAAATGCCAGCGTCGCAAAACAGCCTCCAGAGGAGAACAAAAGCCGTGTGTAGAAATTGGTGTGAATTCTCCGTCTGCGATGACCTTATCAATTCCCTGCATACATTTGGACATGCGCAGTAGCGGAGAGCAAACGTAAACAACAATGATGGCGAGTGGACTAATGCTACGTATGCTTCGAGCGCAAAACACAGAGGTGAATTCTCCTAGCGAAACCACACAAAGCTGTAGTTTCAGTTTCCATTTTTGCTGCTACTGTTAAATGCAGAATGATGTTGGTGCATTCTTTCGTGCACCAACATCTTTGCTGTGGCCCGAGGAGGATGTTGAGGAAATGAATATAGTGGTGGGGGTCGTAAAGTTCCACTGCCTACCGGCCGGGCGATAGAACTACATTGTTTTCAGTCGTCATGTAAACGCTGTGACATCACCCCTACACAAGAGAAAGTGAGATATAATCTCACAAGTTTGTGAGTGTTGTGTGGTGTGTCACTCAAATTATTATCACACATGTGCATAGGATGGACTGTGAAACATGAATAAGATCGCAATATGGAACCTTTAAAAGGGATAAAATTAGTTTCTTCCACAGAGTCGCTGGAAGTGCCCCTTAGAGATAGAGTGAGGAGTTCAGTTTACTTTTTAAAGATACATAAGATAGATTTCCTGACTATTTGCTCCATTGTGGGATACATTTTTATTCAAGTCAAGGATTCAAGATTTATCTTTTGAGGGAATCGTAGAGGAATGCCGGTTCTCCGGCACACCGAGAGGAGCCATCTGGGGTGGCTTGGGCATCTGTTTGGAAAGCCTTCTGGATGTCAACCTGGGGAAGTATTCTAGGAATTATTAGAAGGCCCCGGAGAGGACCCAGGACTAGGGTCTCTCAGCTTGCCTGGGAAGGCCTTGGGATTCACTGAATGAGCTGGTGAAGTACTGTATTTGTTGAGGGAATAGACTGTATATTGTTGAGAGAGAAGTCTGGGCGTTTCTCCTTAGACTGCTATCTCTGACACAGCAACGATAAAGTGGAAGAAAAAGGATGGATATTATTAAACTGAATGAGGACGTTTATGCATTAGAGCTCTGCGCATTTAAAATGTGATCAAGATACACCAGCAGAGGGAGGCAGTTTGTTGTCTTTTGGGTCATTAGACATGTCTTCTTAAAACTGATGTAGGCTGAACTGAATGTGTCAGGCCACAATGCAACTATTATTTTAGTTTACCAACTTATTCTATCTCAAATTACATAACACACTGGCTTATTTGTTCAGATTCCAGCTGCATTTCATTCCTAAAAATAGATTACCATCTGTTGTAGTGGTCTATCTTTTGCTGGAAGAAAATCACAAGGTAAGCTTGATTGCCTCAGCAACATTTTATCACTGAGATAAACCCTCAGGTGAAGAAGATGTGACTTCGTGATGACAAAGGAGACTCCTCCCTCTTGACTTTAGTTTGATTGAATACAACACTAAATGCATTCCCATTGTGTAAAAACATCTGTTCCTGCCAGGCTGCCACTTGTGCTGTTTGTCCTAATTGCTGCACAAGCCACTGAGCTCACAGCAAAAACAAAAGACTGGACATCGTTCTGACCTTGTGAGATGTTCACTCCCCTGGCTCTGTCCCTGTGTATTTTCCCCCTCTCCATCTCTCCTTCCTGTTAGTGTGTTCAGAGAGTGATCAATCATTAAAATTGACATGTGCTGGAGGAGAGGGACTCACAGAGAGATTGCCTGTTCATCTATAGAGTGAAAAACATGCTGAGAGTGATATCTGTTGTTATCCCAACCTTTGGCTTGTCGTTGATCCTAACAAGTGACATATAAACTGTCCATTGCTGACATCAAAGGTAAGGCTGCCGTTTGTCCATCAAGGCCAGACATGGAGCTTGTTTGCAACACTTTATTGATGATGTTGTTGGAAAATCTTGATCTTGCATTAACAACAACAGTATGGAATTAAGAAACAATGAATACTTGTAAAATACCAACTCTCTAAACTCAAATTTAGGCAACACTCCTTTAGAAAATGTCAACTGTGTAGGGGCCGCATTTGTTTTTTTTGTTTTTTTATTGTGGTTTACTGTACTAAGTTATCCATTGTTTTATTAGTAAAAACTTAGTTTCAAGCTCATCTTTTACTTTTGTGGTATTTTTAAATGTATTTTATGTATAAAGCTTTTTTAAGCCTGGGTATTCTTTCCTGGTAGATTTTGAACCAAAACTGGACTAAGGGAAGGAAAGATTGCTGTTGTAGACCGATCTGCCAATTATTCATAAATTAACTAAAGGAATATTTTTGACTGAATCAGTTTAAATGGACTTTAGTATTTTAGTTGAGACATAGATTTCCATCCAACACAAAGCAGCACACTGGCGTCTTGGACAAAGGGTCATCTATGAGACAAAATATTCTCTGTATGTAGCCCACGTCGATCCCTCAGTGATGCTCGGGTGACAGGTCTCACCATGACCCTCAGTATGACCTTGTTCAGAAACATTTCACATCCTGCCACTGCCTCTTCTCCCAGGTGTGGCCGGCTCCCCCCTTGTGCTGTCAGAGAGCACCATCCCGGTCCATGAAACCAATCACTCTTCAGCTCGGTGAAAACATCTTGTGACAAGCACGGCCGTCATGGGCGCCCTCCCTGGTGACCGCGCGCTACGGGGGAGCGCCAAGGTGAGGCCAGTCCTCGCCACACTCTCACCATTAAACTCTTTGTGCCTTCATCAAACACTTTGGGATCGATTTAATGCTACTAGCCACATTGCTGGGTGTAATTGAAAAGAGCATAACTTAATCGAGTCAGATTATAAGTAGTACATTACATCATTTGTAGCACACTGGACACTGCTGATGTAATGCTGAAGGTGTCATAGTGTAGTTTATGCTTTTCATTACAGAGTCAACACATGTCTGCCGTCCATGTGCTGTCCAGCACAGAGTCTCTTCTCCTGATTCCTGACACTACCGGCTCCATATTGGGGAAAGACAAATTATATGGTAAGTGTGTCAATTTAATTTGTTATTGATTTTTTATTCAAATAACAATTTGTAACTTTTTGCTATGACAACTCTAAGACACCGTGTATGGAGTGAAAGAATATCAACCTGTGAAGTGTCCAAAAGCTCTATATCAAACTGATTATGATTATTATATTATTATTATTATTATTATTATTATTATTATCATTTATTACTATTTTATTATTATAAGTTACAGACCATATATCCATCCACCTCACAGCTGTAGCATATCACACAGGTGAGTATGCAAGGTCAGTAGGACTAGGATAAACGGTTATTTTTGCTAAATGATTAATCTAGCAATTATTTCTTTTAAATGAATGTAACTTTTTTTTTTTTTTCAATAATCTCCCCATTAATTGACCAAAGTCCAATTCATATGATTTGAACATCTGGATGGATTGTCCCAATGAAGAATAAGGACTCACGGAAACAGTTTTAAATAGATTTGTGAACATATACAGCATATACATATACAGAACTATATTTTTCTGGGTTGTACCCATTAAAATATTGGAACAAAAAGAAAAGTGCCGTGTTTATATTTGTGTCCAGCCTAATGGAGATGTGGTTTTTTTCTAAAAGCCCCAACATATTTAAAGTTCCCTGGAGGATGTGTGTATACTATCAATGTAAAGATTTTTGCATTAGAGGCCAAGCGTTCTTCAGTTCATTGTCATAAAATATATATATATATAGGTCAGGTCGGAGGTCCTAAGAAGCCGGCTCAATGGCAAGAACAAGGCCCGGGCAATTAACAGCTACGCCCTGCCAGTGATCAGATACCCTGCAGGAATAATCAGGTGGCCAAAGGAAGAGATTCAGACCACGGATGTTAAAACTCGAAAGCTCCTTAACATGCATGGCGGGTTCCATCCCAAATCCAGCACCCTGAGACTGTACGTAAGCCGTAAAGAAGGAGGCCGAGGACTAGTGAGTGTGAGAGCCACAGAGAAACCCCAAGGTCTAAGTGGGAAACTCCTCCAAAGGTGGTGGAGAGTGAGCGTGCGAAGATCCTGTGGGACTTCCAGATACAGACCGGCCGAATGGTAATGGCGAACCAACCTGGCATTGTGGTGGTAGACAAAGGGCAGAGGACAGCCGTGGTGGAAGGTCTCAGAGAGGAGCTGGAGAGGGCCTGGAGGGTAAAGGTGACAGTAGTGCCCGTGGTGATCGGTGCACTCGGGGCACGTGACCCCAAACAAGTGGTTACAGCTCGGGACATCTCGGTCCAGAAATGTGCAGTGCTAGGAACAGCAAAGATACTGCGCAGAACCCTCAAGCTCCCAGGCCTCTGGTAGAGGACCCAAGCTTAGAGAGGGATAACCGCCCGCGGAGGGCCAAAGGTGAGTGGACAATTAAAAAAAAAAAAAAAAATATATATATATATATATATATATATATATATACACACAAACATATATCATGATAATAATAGTGTACACACAAAGTATCATAAAAGTTTTGTTTTAGAAACTTAAAATAATATTATTCATAATAATAATTAGTATTATTCATAATATTAATATTAATATTATTATTGTTGTTATTATTATTATTATGTAAAAGTGCAGAGGTAAATAGGAGAGCACTACAAACTGCACAAGCAAATCCAGACATGCCCCCCTGAAATGAGCCGGTGCAAAGTGCAGCCCAATTCATGGTCAGCTGTGCTAAAAAAGATGAAATGGCATTGCAGGAGTATTTTGTAATCAATAATGCATGGCTGTCCATCTTCGGTAGAGAAAGCCCCTCCAAACACACCAGAGGCATCAGACACTTTCATTTCCAGCTGAAGGTCAGAGCAGCAGCATGTTATCTATCCCTACAGTGCATAAAGCTGCTTTACACAAGAAAAACAACACAAACAAACACATACCTGAATGCGCATTATAGGGTGTGACTAATATTAGTTCATATTCCAGCAGTTTTGCTATTATTTTCAACATAGCTAAATACTTTGCAGCAAAAGAAAGAACATGAACTAACAGCAAACTAAAAGAGTTAATAAATCATAGTTTTTTCTTTCTTGAGCATGTATATATTACACAGTCTTGTAAAGGTCTAAATATCTTTATTTAGATAATATCTAATTTCCAGATAATTGGTTAATAAAAATCATTCCTGCTATGTGCTGCATTGTACCACTTGACTCATCATCTGGCTTTGGATCATTGTCTGTATTGATCTGACTTCCAAACATCTGGATGGTAGCGCTGCCTCCTGCCGCTATAAATACAAATATACCCTCATAAAAAGCACTGGTCGACCTCTGTACCTGTGTTCACAATGCACACCCAACAAAAGCATAACGACTGCAAAATGCTGTTAACATTTTTGAATAGTGTCTGGACATACTTAATGAGTTTACTGTATGTTAATAGTGTGTGATTTGGGCACAAATTCATATTTATTGAAATTGTGGGCCACCTTTTTGCTGTGTGCCTGTTGCTGTTTTGCCTGGATACTTAGGCAGGTTGTCATTAAACTTTCTTTTTACATTGAAAACAAGTATATGCAACTTCACTCAGGTAAGATATGAGTTCTGTGCAAAAGCAAATCTTCTCACTGTATGACTCATCCATAATTGAGCACTGTACCGGTTTTAAACAAAACTGGGCAACATTGCAAACAAAGCAATAACATACATATTGCAAAATGCAGGTATCGGCCCACGTCACATAAACTGGGTCACCGCCAGGACAGGAGGAATGCACCTTTTAAATGTAAGTACAGTATAAAAAAAACATTATCTGTTATTGTCAATATTATGAATATCTTCAGAATATTTTTTTACAGACATTGCACTTTTTGTATTAATCATCAAAACAACATTAATACTATAATTATATTTGTATTCACCACTTCTTTGTGTATGATACTTCTGGGACATGCTCAGTGATATTTTAGCTGTTCCTAGATATAGACTGCCATAAATAGGTTTATTTGAATTCCAAAAAATATACAGTATTGTGTATATTTTCTTTTATTGGTGTTAATTTTCAGTTATGACACGTCTCAATAATCACCATGAGAAAACTGTGGCTCCACAGCTGCCCAGATCAATTAGACACCATTAAAATACTGGTCCCAGAACAGCCATGGAGACTTCCATAATGTCTCCTCCTCTCCTCTGCACGGTGCTAACTAAATCCATCCTCAGCCTCATCCAAACCTAATTACAGGTAGAGATGCACTGTGTGAGATGAAAAGCACAGAGCTGCTTTGATGGATAGTGAGTTCCTGCAAAACAGAGCAAACAGGTAATTAACATGACAATAGGCAAGAGCAGGGGTCTCATACAACGACATGGGGTGATGCTTGTGGTGGCTATATGGGAGCGGCCATGTGAAAATGTATGGAGCTGTTGCATTTTCAACAAAAGAAATGAAATGAAATAAACTAACTAATTACACTGAAGCATCGCAAGGAATTATGAAGAGGAAACGAATCCATGGTACTGTATGTGCTGATCTGAATTCAAGGGGAAAAATATAGCATTACAAAACACTAAAATAATCCAGAGGGGGTTTGGCCAGACGTCTAATGGAGGTGTTGAAGAGATAAATAATGTATTCTTTGACAAAGTATACCTCATTAATTTTTCATGGTGACATATTTACGGTTGAGCCATTTAGACGTGATCGCTGCATCAACTCAAACTGTCAGATCTATGCAAAATACTGTAAATTGAAGATAGAATAATAACACAATGTATGAATTATTATAAAGCACTTTCTTATAAAGAATTTATTTCCCTGGTTGAGTAACAATGGGTTTTTTGAAAGTGCCTCAATTCAATTCAATTCAATAGATTTTTTTCAAAGCCCTAAATCACAACAGCAGTCGTCTCAAAGGACTTTACAAAGTTGTTGTTTTTCTAACAACCGATAAGTTCAAACACCGAAATCAGTACTTTATTATAGCTGCAATGTGTAACCAATGAGTGATGGTGATGGTCAGAGGCACAAAACACAATACAAAAAAAATTGCAAAGCAGTTTGTATGACCTTGATTTGTGAAATGTGCTATATAAATGAAGATGACTAAACTCTCATGCAACTGTATGGTTCTGCCACCTGCTTTGTACCAATGGATTCCACTCCATATCCATGGGGATAACAGGTGCCTACTGTCGCCTGTCGGGCAAAGGAATAAGCCAGCTCTATGGAGAGGCGAGGCTGCTTACAATATGACTTTATGATTTGATGTGAGTGTTAAAACATTCATGTAATTACTTTGATTATGCAAGCTACTTCAATAAACTATGGCATATTTAATTCCATGCCGAACATTTCTGAAATAGCAACTAGGTCTACTTATTCGATAAAAAAATACTATTTCATTACTATTTCATTGTTTCGATAAATCGATTAATTAAATAATCAAAAGCTTTGTGAAACTGAACTTCACTAAGCACAGTGGCCTAAATGTGTCGCTCGTTTTACACTGAGTTGTTTCGATGAGGCGCTGTACGCCGCTACTCGTCACTCAAACGGCACACAAATTCAATCATACTTTTGTCTAAAATGTATATGTATTATGAATTTAAGGATGGTAAAGTTAAAATATTGTGAACAAAGTTAATAGATTACTTTTTTTTTTTTAAACAAAAGTAAAACTCAATAGATTACATGCTTACTGTGTGTTGACCCAAAGGACATAAATCCTCTCTGAAACATAACCCTAACCCTGAAACAGTGCAATTTACAATTTATTCTTGTATAGCCCTAAATCACAACATAGTCATCTCAGAGGACTTAACAAAACCATTGAAATCACCGACACAGATCAGAGAATGAACAGTTAAGACACAAAAAGAATATAGAACACATGTTGATAAATGTCCATACATGTTGTAGAATGTTAAAGTGTCCTGGATCATCACCACAGTCCTTCTAGTTGGACACTGACTGTCCAACAGACCCTCTGCATTGGCAAGGAAAAACTCTTAAGAAAAAAAACCCAGTGGGAAAAAAGTGAGAAACCTCGAGGAGACCCACACATTGAGAGAGGGATCCGCTCCACACAGACGGACGGGCTATTGATCCAGGCCCTAAGCAACAGAACGTGGACCAGGGCCACGCAGCGGCCGCAGAACGTGGAAAGATCCGGTGCAGGACTGAAGCAGCTCCCAGGCGGGTCGGGCAGGGCAGTCCGCAGTTGTTGATGGAGGAGGCCAAGTTCAGAGGTCCCGTCGTCGCGGCATGAAACAGACAATGGGACGGGTGAATAGCAATGAACAGACTACAGTCAAAATCCTAATAATCCAGTCAGATAAGGTAGGAAGGAGGAAAGGATAGTGCTCAAGTTACCATACTTCTCCCGGCAAACTGACTGCCTACGCAGCTTGACTGACAGTCTAAGATTGTTAGCCTTCGCCGAGTTTTACCTTCCTAAACAAATGCTAACTAAAGAGGACTGTTTTAGGGTTGATGCGAGATGCGAGAAGCGAGCTCCAAGACCTGACCGGACAAACAACCTAGGTTTCCTCCGGGTACTCCGGTTTCCCCTACCACTAAAAATATGTACAATAGGTCTGGCATGCGCCTCCTGTTCGGCGACCCCGCTCCCATCTCTGTGTGGAGTGAGAGGACAAGTGCCCAAAAAATAACAATTGTAAACCGCTTTGTGACTCTGGTCTGTGAAAGGCGGTATATAAATAAAGCTTACTTACTTACTTACTTACTTACTTACAACCTAACCATATGCTAAATTGAAGAAGAGTGTTTAAAGGCTGGCCTTGAATGTAAAGACTGTGTCTGGCGGTTTGTGAGCGCAATGCTCTGCTTTGTTGACATGACATCAACATGTCTTGAAGATAAGAAGGAGCCAAGCCATTTATGGTTTTGTATGCAAAAAGAAGATTTTTAAACTTTATTCTGTAGTCCACAGGAAGCCAGTGGAGTGATTTTAACACCGGAGTTATGTGCTCCCTCCTTTTGGTACCTGTTAAGATCCTTGCTGCTGTATTTTGAACGAGCTGGAAGCTCTTCAAAGAGGTTTAGGGAATGCTGCCAGAAAAGCGTTACAGTAGTCAAGCCTTGAGGTGACAAAGTTTTTCTGCGTCACTTTTAGGAAAAATATTCCTGCTTTTTAGTGATGTTCCGCAAGTGGAAATACGCTGTTTTAGTTGCTTGGTTTATATAAGCCTTGAAGGAGAGTTCTTCTTCGAAAACGACTCCAAGATTCCTCACAGTGTTGCTGGGTACTATACTGACATTATCGAGAGTGATTCTCTTGTCAGGAAGGGAGATTGTTTCAGTTTAACAACTGAAACAATCACTATTGAACTCCTCATTTTAGGACTCAAGTGTGGACATGCACTTCAATAATAAAGCTATAAGGGTTGCATATTAGCAACATCACATGATTCTCTCCAGTGAGACAAATGAAACCTGAGACATCTGAAAAGAAAATAAATATCACCATTAAACTCAACACTGTGTTTATTTGGATGTCACTTTTTAACACATAAAACATTAATTAGTCTCTTGGTTACTCAAAATGGGTCAACTGCAAATATTACAACCCCTTTTCAGTTATGATTTTTGTATGTGACTGAGAAGGCGACAGATTTGAATGTGTTTGACGTAAAAACCTCAGATTTATACTCCGGTCTTTGTTTTGTTTAAGTGTCCTTTGAATATGTATTTTACTTCAAGTTTAGTTAACAACTATGCAAATGCCTTCTTTTTTTTTTTGCATTGTAAAGAAAGATGTCTCATGATCACAATTATAAAACCGTACGTGTTTATAATGTCCATGTGTGTCCTCTTTAAAAGTGTTATTCAGTTTTCCCTTGTTTAAAATTAAAATAGACATTAAAGACCGTTTTCCGTTTAATACAATATGGTTTAGAAGAGAGTGAATGCATGACTTGCTTTCAGGAGGGACGCCCTGAAACCCTCCATTGGACATTTGTCATGCTTTTAAGTGATTTACAAATGGGAGGCACACAGGCATTGTCCAGGAAACGAGGAGAGAGGAGTGAGTTTTCCTAGTGTGAGGGTCTTTGTGCTCCCTGCCTACCCCACAGCATAAGGACGAAGATGGAAATGTTGTGCGTCATCGGGGTTGATTAAAATAGGAGATATCGCAGAGCCACTTGTAGCATATACGTAATAATAACACAATGACGACTTTTAAAGACTCATTTCCTGAACAGATATGTCATTGTGAGAGCAGATAACATGCATACTTTTGAATGTAACATCTAACAATGATTGAAGAGGGCTGTGATAAAATGGGGAATTGTAAGCAATAAACCACAATTTAAATAGTAACGCTCAGTTCAATGCTCCTCCTTTGACCTCCCACACACTTCATGAACCATCTAACACAAACCCACTACTGTCTTATAACAGCTCTTCAAATACTTTGACTATACCCAGAGTTTTTTTTTCTCAATGGCACACTTTTAACTTTTTATTGTGACTTAACTCAGAGTGGTAAGGGTGCTGTAGCTGGGCAGCCCTTGAACAAAGATGAGAGAGAGAGAGGAAAAAAAACAGACAGGGGAAGAGGGAGGAGGGACAATTTAAAAAAAGCACCCATCCCCCATTTGACAAAAAACACGGGCTTACCATGATTTCCTCCCTCACCTTCCTCTATAGTTGTTTTTTTGATTTGTTTTGTTTTTTTATTATATTTTCAAAAATACTAATTGTTGTTATAATGCTGATACACATGACCCAACTTGTATGCCATTACGGCCTTACTCATTCCTCGTTCATTGATATGTTTTTGCAGCTTGTGGCAACAGGTTTTCCATTATGGCGTGACATAATTCACTTTTTTTTTAACTTTCGGTGTCTTGTATGTTTATTTGTTCTGTATGACAATTTACAGAACGCCTTTGCAGTTTTGCTACTTTAACAAAAGCTCTCAAATTTATCAATTTGTGGTGCTTTGTTGGTTTTCGAACAGGTTTTGGTAATATATGGGAAGTTCAGTGAAGAAGACATTATACTTGACTTGGCTTTTGCTTTGTTTTTCATAGCTAATTGCATCGTCAGTTTGAGCACTCAGGGCAAGTCAAACAACAGCTGTCTATGGCACAAGCAGGAAAGTCAACAACCAAGCAGCGCACAGTCAGCCACACAAAGAACACGCACCTCATCTTGATGTTACTGGAGGGGAAATAACACATGCATACTATATATGTTATAATTACTAAAACCACAAACAGTTTATTATTATTATTTTTTCATAATTTTAAATTTTGTACATTCAATGAAATAAGTATAATAAAAGACTGATTTTGTTGAATGCAAATTTAATATGCAATAAAAAGCATGCATGCCATGAAAAGGCTACGGCTACTTGGCAATGATAACCAGCACTGGCGAAAAACAGTGCCACTCTTTGCTGATAACATTTGTATAGTAGTCCATTGTTCCGTTTGTCAATTTGGATGATGAATGTGCGGAAAAAAACAAGGTAACCCAGCTGCCGTGCTTTCAAGCTGGTTAAATTTGACTGTGGAGGAGGATTCACCAATAAGTTTGGCTAACCACACCAGAATGAGCATCATCCTTCACACATGTAAAAGGGTACTAGATTACTCCATTAACAGATACTTGATGAGACTTATCTTTTTTATAGGCCAACCTAAGGCACACCTGAAATATACTGTTGATGCAGTCCTTGGGGGCCCCGATTTTGACCACATAACCACATAAAAATGTTTTTATTACAGTAGGTATAAAAATATATTTAATAATAAGATGCAATATCTATTACTTATTTACATTAATATAAATTAAATGTAGATAATTTCTTATTTTTAACAATAAATGGTAAGGCCTTTGGCCTGCCTGGCATACTGTACAGTCTACATTTGGCCCTCGGTGCCAAATGAAAGATTAGGCTCTTAGCTTTAATCTGCACCTTACCTTATACCGTTCTTGAGCAATCTGTCATAGAATATAATATACATAGTTTAATCCAAACAAAAATCCCTCCTGGATTCATAACCGGGTCATCACGGTGCAAGCGCTGCTTCTTAACCACTAGATCACTATTACATACAATTTATTGTCATCCCCAGGCAGGGCTTTTAACTGTTATTAAAGAACGTGGCAAGTTTTCGTCAAACGAAAAGTTTTTATCCGCCAACTAGTCACTGCAGGTAGCTGTTGTAGCCTGTACAAGTCAAATAAAATCAGTCGGCCCTCAGGGGCCCCCTGTTGGT